GTTAGCATTTACCTCAAAGCAAAGCCTCACAGTGCCGCTAGCATGGCAGTAAACATAAATGCTGTATTGCAGCCCATGGTACAGATGCTACATCATCCCCTGGGCACCTCTCCCTTTTTAAAAAATATATATTTTTAATTAGCAACTTCCAGCAATTCCAACAAGGTTTCAGGGACTGTTGACATCTCACAGCTTAACAGCTACACACATAGTATCAGTGCATGCACACAATCTGACCAGAAATAGGCAGAGCTGCGCTACATTCCAATGGTGAAACCTAGTTTAACAAAGACAGCAATATTTTTAATATCTGCTTTTATTAATTAGCATGATGACATTTAATGAGCGTTGACCTGAAACAAAAACTTGCCTCTTTGTATTTCTCTGCAGTGTCTATGACACTAATCAGAATCAGAAACTACTGTTCCTCAAATGCCACATGCCATCTGAAATGAACCTGTGCTGTATTTATTTGGGTGCATTTTAGTGTATATTTTAATGCATTCACTCATGTTGTCTGTATTCTCATTATAGCATTAGTATGTCCTATGAATAACATAAAGCAAAGTGTTTTCTTTTGGTTTTCCAACAGCTTGGGGAACAAAAGCAGCATGGACACCGCAGTGGGATTTAACTGAAGGTTTGGTTTACAGCTGCAGCTGAAATTGTTGCTGAGCATTTGTGTCACTGCTGATATAACTGACATCTCATGTAATTTAACTTTTACATCACTTTTAATTCCCAAATATGTGCCTTAATGACATTGAATTGGATATGTCTGTGAGAGTCACGTTTTGGGCGCCAGTGCAAAATTGTCCACAAGCTCGATGATTTTGGTGAGTTAGTCATAATGGCCGAAAGTATGGAAATAGTTAATATCACCCATGTAGTCAAGTATGCTGACGTGGAAATTATTTGCACTTAATCGTGTAATTTCTGCCGCTATGGGGTCTTTCACATCAAAACAATAACAAAAAATGTAGTTTGGTAGCGTTGTGAATTAGCTTTGCAGCCAGCATTGCTGATGAAAATGTATCTGATGTGACTCAGGACAAGGTGATATGGAAGTTTTATTCACGTTACGGTTGTCACGTTCGCCGACTTCCCTTCTCACTCTGAAGTATCTGACATGTCGCGTTTACCTGGAAATTATAGCAACTAGAGACTAAGAAACGTATTGTTACCTGAATAAAATTACAGATTTGAACAGTGTTGGAAACATTTGGGATTATGCAAATACAAAACTCAACGAAATATATAACACAAGTCTAGTTGTTTTTACATTTTAATGCAAACATGTTCCATATTATAAAGACATTTTAAGGTCCAGTGTTTAGGATTTAGTGGCAATATTCTAGCTGTGTAATTCACCTTCCTCTTCCAAGCACCAAGGATAAAATACAGTGGCTGTGAAGGGACGGTTTGTCCCTTCTGGGCTACTGTAGAAACATGACGCGCTCATTCTAAGGTAACCAAAACCTAACAATTCCGATATTCAGGTGATTACGCGTACCTATGCATATTATATTCCATTTCTGACATTTGATCTTTATAATGTTACACACTGGGCCTTTAAGGCACTATTTCGTTTTATTCATGACCTCATTAGTTTAACAGGGTTTTGATTAATGTATCACGATGATCATAGTGAAACATCAGCTGAAGTGCCTCTTAAGAAAATGCTCAGATCTAAATTATTGTGCCACTAACAGAGAGTAGGGAAAGTACTGGTAGAGGTCCCCAACTGCGCCAGCTAGTCTGACCTTTCACCTCCCCACCCAAGTATTGCTTCAGCATTAGTTCAAGTGTCTCTGTCCGGCTGGAGTGCAGATAGTAATTTTCCCTTATTTTTAGTCATGTACACGCTTACAGATTGTGAGTATGCCTCACTTTAAAAAGGTAAACATCAACAGATGATGCAAAAATCGCATGTTTTTTCTTTGCAGCTTCTCAGTTACAAAGTCATGTCCAAACACACACCGACACACACGTTTCGGTTATCAACACAAACAGACGCCCAGCAGAAGTGGAGGGATCTGAAGGGGGTGGGGGTGAGTCAGCAGAGTGTCTTACCTCTGCAAGAGGCTCCATGGCTGGGAAAGAGGAGCAGGAGGTGTGCCTCTGTGGAACCAGACCGACCGGTGAAAGCTTGGACTACAACACTCGTCCCGCTGTCCAACTCAGACATCTGGCAGGATCTGCTACCATGTGAGATTAAAGAAGTGTTGAAGGCATTGTGAGGAAGGGCAGAGAGGGAGAGGAAGGAAATACGGAGGTATTGGACGCAAAAGGCGAGGGAGACGAGGGAATCTGCGCACTACCGGTCAGCTTCAGTCAGCTGGGTCTGAACGTCTGGGAAAGACTGAGGTCTAAATCTGGACTGAGGGGTGAGAGGCCTGTGTCATTCACAGGAAGAGAGAGAGTGAGAGAGAGACAGAGGAGGGAGAGTGGGAGGGGACACATGTACAGGGAGAGCTGAGGGGGCTGAAGGCAGACATACCCTATATGTTTTCATGGTGACAGACATTACAAGTACTTCTTTATCATCCAGTAGTGAGACCTTCAGGTGGCAACAGCATTAGCACGATGACAACAACAACCCAGCAACCTTCTGCTGACAGTGCTGCATCAGCAATACAATCCACTCAGCTGGGATTCAGTAACTGAGAATGAAGTTAATAAAACAGCAACCTGAGATCATCACTGAGCCTTCCAAAGTCCGGCCCCTTTTTGGAACCTCGGTTAGCTCGGTTAGCTCGTCTATGTTGAGAAAACGACCACATTTTGAAGATGGTTCAAAAATAAAAGCTGCATGTAGTCCTAAATTAGCTGTTAGCAAAATGCTAGCTAACTAGCTAGGCAATCTACATCAATGATGTTGATTAATGTTAACTAACTAGCCAGCTAACTAGCCAGCTAATGATTAATGTAGATTAGCTAGCTATTTAGCAACCATTTTACTAAGATTATAGATTTATATATCCATAGGTATGTTTCCATTAGTGTATAATCACCTGAATATAGGAATCGTGTTTTTGTTACCTCAGAAGAATGAGCTGTTTTCATTCTTTAGCTAGCTAGTTACATCTGATAGCTAATGTTACCTAGCTAACTCACTAGCTAATGATTGATGTAAGTTAGATTAACTAGTTAGCTAGCATTTTGCTAACAGCTCATTTTAGACTATATGTGGCTTTTATTTTTTAACCATCTTCAAAATGAGTTTTTTCATCATAGACAAGCGTAGCATATTTAAGTAAAGGAAATGAGGAAGTTGACTGAGGCTAGGCTAGGTTATTGGAGCAGAGAGCAACAAGGGGCGGGGCTTAGGGACAGTCAATTAGTGTATGATGTGCTAAAACATGCTAACAACCCAAATAACTGAGAAGAGTGACAAACTTTACACAGAGGGTGAGAACGGTGCAGATGTGTTCATTCTACTACTGAAGACGCAAACATGGACATCATAAAGACTGCGCTGCGTTTGTCTGCAGTCTGCTGCCGTAAAACAAAACAATGAGCTGAAAGACGATAAGAGGCTCTCTCTCTCTCTCTCTCTCTCTCTCTCTCTCTCTGTAGAGGGGAACGGCAAAGGGAGGTAATAGTTCTCTGTGGGTTTGTCACAACGAGTGGCAGCTTTCACATTACATTCATTTAATCAACTTAAACAAAAAGAAAAGGAATTTAGATGAGTGCAGCTTTAAGGCTTTGCCAGTCCTACTGTGGGAGACGTTCAAGTTTCACTGGGCCATTACAGGCCAAACTATTTATAGACACTGACTGACTCGAGTAGGCTATCCCCTCCTATTTATGAGTTATGAGTTTACATGCAGCCCCAAAATGTACTAAAATATTTATCAAAAATGTTATTGTTTTTAAAAATATACAAAACTGACCAACACACCTTTATAAATCAGTTATAAATGTATTGATGCTGTTATTATCTGTTGCACATTTAACTCCAACAGAACATCCTCTGCAAAAACTAAATTGTTTAGAAAGTAACTATGCAAATAAATTAAATACTATGCTGTGCACAGCAAATCCCCACAATTCTCCTGTTCATGTTGGTGGTAAATGTTGCTGGCTAAACTCTACATTATTTCTCCAGATGTTCCTTTTTCAATATATGGCAGCCAGAAGGTAGAAAGTCCAGTTCAAGTTGTATTTTTTTTTTACATACAGCAAGCAGCAGTGTAATAATATATGCAGTTAGTCACTGCTGGTTAGAGAGAGGAGCTCAGATATTAATAGTTTACAACTGCTTGAAGAGTCCTGACACACATTCAGAATACCACAGGCTGGTTCCTGTGTCTGCACTCTCCGTCTAACAATTCTCTACACAGTGTTTGTGTGTGTGTGTGTGTGTGTGTGTGTGTGTGTCTTTCAAACACATGCTGTTGCAGCTGTAAACAGGGTCATCATTGGAAAACTGTTACATGAAGTCAAAAATCTTAACTTACAGATAATTTAATAAACTTAAAATAAAAACAAAGTTGATTAAGTCTGTATGATTGTTAAAAATACATAATACAGTATTACCTTATATACAGTAAAAAAGTTCCTTAAAGAGGAATTATGTGCAAAATTCAACCAAATCTCTCCATGCACACATCTTGCAGTTACTGAGATTTGTATATAATGTGAATTATTCATAAAATGTCACTTCTTTAGGGGTCATCAGTTTACTAAATGATTGAATGTATATAATTATATGATCTTAAGTACATGCAAGGCAAAGCAAAAGACCCCAGGTGGCACACAGAAGTTGAGGACCCCAACGGCATTTGATAGCCGCTTTCAGAAGCTTAAAATGTTCTAAAAGCCAAAAGTGGAACATGTACTCATGACTGATAAAAAGTAGGTTCCTCCAGTCTTGTGACCGTCATCAGATACCAAAAAATAACTATGACAAAGAAAGGTTGTTTTAAGGTAATTGTAAGGAACACCACTGTTTAGAGTGTAAAAACATATTTTTTTTAATCACCCAATCATGACACTTGTACCACAAATAACTTTTATTTTTAAATTGTCATCCTGAGCAATTCATACAGCCCTTTCACACGGACATTTTACAATTGTGAGTTAGTAAAAAATATTGTCATCTCCACTTGCTTATAATATTTCTGTTAAGTTAAAAACAACCTCAAACAGTGTTATCATTTAACTTTATAACATGTATCAACTCTGAAATGCAGCCAGTAAACAAGATGGTGGCGTGGCTGCAGTGTAAAGAGGAACCTGCTGAATGCATCGGGGCAGATTCTAACTTCTGTCATATGAAAGCATTAAGACTCCAGACTGATTTTTCTCCAATAGAACAGTCATTTATAAACTCAATATTTAATGCGTCAAGGGCCCCTGAAACCCTGCTGAGTCATTATTTAAGAGCTGTGTTGAACGACTTTTAGATACCTGTAGAATAGGACAAGTTGTAATATATGGAATATATTTAAGATGTCGTATCATAAATATGTGAAAACACAAAACCACCTGTGATGGCCTGTTTATGCAGACTTTGTGCTCCTTAAGGTGGACGTGAGATGCTTGGCTGATACCGTGTAGGGCCAACACTGTCTCACTCCCAAGTCTTCAAATACTGCCGCTTGGTCAGTGGACCTCTGCTTCAAAATATGACACTGTAGGTATGTGTCAAAGTCAGGTGACGTAGTATAAAGCGAGAAAGTCTGCATATGACCCAGAAGGGGACTGCTGTTTGTGTCCTGTGTGAAACTAAAAGTAAAAACTTTTAAATACTTTAAAGTAATGTACGTAAGTTATGTCAGGTACATAATTTGCCATATTTTCCTAAACCTAAGGAGGTAGTTTCTGTACCTTTTGCTAATTGTCATTTGTGAAGCAATAATGCTAAACATTCACTGCTACCAGCTTCATATATTTGAGGATTTGATATATGGTGCATTTCTGTTAATGGGACAAAGCAGCCACTTTGAAGACGCCGCATTGGGCTCTGGGAGACTGTGATAGCCTTTTCTTCCTCCATTTAATCACATTTTATGGACTAAACGATGAATCAGTTATTACATAAAGTCATAAAACAGATGACTGATGAATGAAATGAGCACTAGTTGCAGTCCTACTTGAAAGACAGGACATTTAAAAGCATTTCTCCTCTGCCTCTCTGTGTGAATGGGCCCTTCGTGTGTGAGCTGTGAGGAGCATTCAGTCACTCTGTAACACCAGGGAAAAGCCTTCAGACGCCACTTTGTGCTTCCACGTAACATTCTATTTTATTTAATGCACTGACCTATGTCAAAATTAGGTTAATAAGTTAATAAGTTCATGTATAACAAAGTGTTAATAAAATCTTGCATGAGCATAACACAGACACTTCACAGCAGTTTGGCATCTGTTAGTGAATTGCATAATAAAACTCATTTGTAAACAAGTTAGCTTCCACACTTTTCTCTTGTAACTTCTCACAGCAGAAATTAAAGACATTTTTATTTCCAAATAAGGTCCACTGGGATAGGAATTCCTAATGAATTAGCTCATCTACCCCAGCTCAGCCTGTCAGTTTGGTACAATGGATGTGGGCTTTAAGAGAAAGCCGACCCAAACATTTTCAACTTCAAGTAAGTTTTACGTTTTCTGATAGTCTCCTCACAGTAGATGAATATTTTTGAAATAAGATACGTTTCTTTTTCCTGAGGGTACAGAAGAATTCTTGAAGCGGTTTCCTCTCAAACAGCAAACACTGAACAGCAGACCCGCTCTCAGTTTAGAACCTCTGAGATTAAGTCATACTTTTATATTATAGTATTTGAACAGGAACGGAAAGACGTTTGTGTTAATGAACGTACACTGCAGGGTTAAATTCTGGTACTGGACTTGCGTTTGGCAACTTTGAAGGAATTCTCTATATATTATCATTTGTTAATAGTCACACAGAAAAACCAAAGCCCTTTTTTATTTTGTTGGTCATTTTCTTGTCTACTAACATGCAAGTCAAACTGATTAGTTTTCACCTTCAAGTATCTCTAACATACTGTAAGTCAACATCATGAATCAAATGAGGTTTGGGTGAAAACCACCAGTAACACCATCAACCAGTGATAGTCTTTATTTGGCTATGTTTTTCGCCTTTGAGTTCATTGCATAACACTTGTGCATTCAGTTGCCCAACCCCTTAACGCCTTAACAGTCTTAGATTCAAGACATGAGAGTAATCACAGTACTGTGTCATTATTTATCACAACTTTGGGCCATCGTTTTCCGTACAGGGACGGGAATCAAGCAACGGCTCAGCATTGTCCAATCCATCGGATTTATATGCCTCAGATCGAGCAGATGCCGTCACGTTTTCTGACATTTGTGCATTGCTTAACGATGACGTCCAACACTTGCGTCCACGCTGCTGGAAACTCGGTGGAGAGGAAGTAACGGTCCAAAGCGTGGCTTCATTTCACAATGAAAGATGACAGTGCTCTTTGTAATGTCTGTAAAATGATTATTTCAAGTAAGAGTGGAAACAGCAGCAATATGTTGAAACATATTTCTACGCAAAAATGGGCTCAACTTCCAGGAATGCCATGTATTTGACACTACACACGAGTGCTACCACTTCCCCAGCGAGCAGCACGTCTGTCACTGAGGGTCAATATCAGATGGTACAAAAACATTAGCGCCATGCAGGCAGACTCAGCAGATTTTTTTTCTCATTTCATTCATTTTTAGATGACAGATTGTTGCCACAGCTAGCTCTCAGGCTACCTTTTTTCTACTCTGTTTCTACACTGTCATTAAAGTGTTTTGTTTATGCTGAAAACCTATTTTTTTCCACACACAGAAAAGGATAAAGAATCACTAATAAGCAGAATAGATAATGTTATTGGTATCAATAAAATCTTATCAGTTCCCATTGTGTATGGTAATGTTGACTTGGCAGCTTTATTCTTGCTAATGTGAGTTCATAAAACACACAACCCAGCAGCCTGTGCTAATGCTGCTTTGCGGTGTAGGCTGTAAGGAGGCCCAGCAGGCCTTATTCACAGTTTAAGTTTAGTACCAACAGCCAGCAAGGACAGACGTGTGGCAGATGGGATCTGAGGGTCTTGTTCCTAGCGGGTGTTCACCGAAAATGGCGCGGCGTCAGTGACTACAGGTACCATCCAGTTTGAGGAATACGTCCCCGAATTAAAGAGTTATCTTTAGCCAAACACTGCCCAGCAGATTCTAAAACTACAATCATTTCATTCTCTGTCAAGACGATTGCGTGGCAAACATTGGAAAAACACAGTTCTCGTTATTAAGTATCCTCCAGGTGTGTAGCTACTCGATTGCCCGCTGCGCTGCCTTACGGCGTACGGTTCCCCACTGTGCCAAAGCAGTGGTCTCAAAATGAATGTCTGCTTTATGGTTGTCAAAGCCTTTTCATGCTTAAGCAACTGACTGATTTGAAAGAGTCTGCACTGCACTGCCATATAATCATGTAAATTTGACAAATGATGCAGACAGTGAAGCTCACTGTGATGGATTATGTATGAGCATGTTTCAAGTTTCTGCAGCTCAGTTTTCTTACTGCAAAGAAATGACTGGAAAGCACTGGCTGCTCAGAAGCTAAGAATGCATTTCAACTAAAGTTGGCATATATCAAAACATGAAAAAAAACACTGGTATGGTCCTTTAAGTGTTATATTTTCACTGGTGTTGCAGTAATGGAGGAGACTTGAAAGGATACTGACTGAAATAGCCAATCTTTAAGTATTTCCTCCATTTCCTGCAAAAACCCCATTAGTACATACTAGTTACTGTTCTGCTAAAGACCAAAACCTCCCTTCTACAGTGTTTGTTAAGACTGGGCTTCAAGCCTATTGTCCTAAGTACAGTACTCATTCATTTAGACATGAAAGATCAGTAGAAGGGTGTGAGAGGTTAGGGCTAACACCCTGAGATGTGTGTCTGTTCTGGGTCCTAAACATCATGTTAGTGAACTGAGTCTCAGAGTGAGGCAAACTGTTGGGGCAGCAGACTCTGGGAGGGGCTGGGCTGAGGGCTTGCACAGGCACTGCTGGTGACACTGGATCCAGGACTTGGTGAAACGGGCAGGCTAGAGACTGAAGCGACCTCCCTGTCTGAGCCGTCGTCATTATCGTCGTCATGGGAACGGTGCCGATGGCTGACCACCACCCTGGAAGAGAAGATAATGGGGTTAATCCACTGTGTAAGCCATTCTGAATAATTCTGATATTAGGTTTAAGCCTGCAGCAAGTTTTGACATAAATATTACATTACCAGGTACTTTAAAATTAAACAAATCTAAAATGAATCCATTATCAATCCATTTATCCAACTGTTGGCCTTACCACAATTCTGGGCTATAACATAAGAGCTTATTCATAGTCCAATCTTAATTAAATAATAAGAGTAGGTTTTCTAATAAGTGCAAACAGAAAAATTACGCTTTGTTATTTTCATAGAAAAATGGCCACATTACTAATCATATGCTGAAATCCTTCAACCTTCATGATTACATTACAACTTTATGCAAGTCATGTTAACTTAATTAATCCAAAATCATATTTTAGACATTTTAAGGCCTAAAATTAAGATTATTGGGTTTTAGACTGTGTGTGTGTGTGTGTGTGTGTTTGTGTGTGTGTACCTGGCTCTGGATGGGCTGACGAGGTCTTGTCTGTGGGGTTCAAACCTAGAGATGTAGCTACACTTGGACCACTACAGAGACACACGCACAGAGAGAAAAAGAAAAAAAGAATGGTTCAACATTTCAAATGAAATCACTGATTTTGTGGTTATAACAGCAATCACAGTCAGTTATTATTCAGACAAATCCATGTAGTCTTTCCTCACCATGTGAGCGGGGTCGCTGGTTCCCAAATGGACTCCTTTCTGACACAGAGTCGTCAGCAGACTGATACCTGCACGCAAAGCAGAAATTTCACACACAGAACCCATAAAGTCTGGATCAACTCCCCCAGCAGTCCCAGAGTTTACTCTCCCCTGGGTCATATTCCTTCCTTGAATAAATAAAGTAAAATGAGAGGCTCCTGTGCTTGTCCTTCAGTTGGGACATGTGTGTGAAGATGCAAGTTTTTAAGGGTCGTAATAATATACTGTAATAACATTTATAGTATTGACCTGAGGGTTCCTGTGAAAAAAGTCTAACATTAAATACAAACAAACTATCTCTCTGTCTCATTAGGGTATAAAAATGATTTATTTTATGGACCACATACCTTTTGTCCTGTTGTTCCAGTGCTTCTGCTCCCACTGGTCCAGCAGGATGTTCAGGTACCTCGGACACTCGAAGAAGCGGAGGTAGCGAGACGACGACGGTGATGGGAAAACTCGCTCGAACTTTCCACAGCGGTTCCGCTCGTCTTCACTCTCTGCCAGCACACGGACGTCCTCTGGAGTCAACACGTCCAGCAGAGTGGACAGGAAGTCCTGATGGAGACAGGAGGGAAGACACAAATAGTTTTAATACCACTAATACAAACAGTATTCATTGTTGTGGAATGGTCTGTAATAACGAGCACACAAACAGAGTGTCTTTTATTATCACACTATCAAACATACATTATCACATCCCTTATCTGACAGTTGTGCAGCTGCATAGGATACTATTCTTGCCAATATTCTCTAAACCAGCCTCCCATGTCTGCTTAAAGAGCCAGTGTGTAGGATTCAGTGGTATTCAGTGGTGAAGTTGCAGATGGCAACCAACTGAAACCCCTTCCCTCAACCGAAACCCCTTCCCTCAACCGAAACCCCTTCACTCAACCGAAACCCCTTCCCTCAACCGAAACCCCTTCACTCAACCGAAACCCCTTCACTCAACCAATCGTGTAAGAAAAACTTGCAAAAACTGAAGAAGTCCTTATCTAGAGCCAGTGTTTGGTTTATGCTTATATTCAGGAGTTATAAATTAACAGAAACACAGATGGATATTATATTGTATTCCTGACAATAGATCTCTCTACATGTTACACACCGGACCTTTAAATGAGCACACTGTGACAGAGCTCAGTCATGCATGCAAGGTATCAACTTGCATAACACAAGATTTTCATAGAGAGGACAGTTTTGCTTTCTATCAGTCCTTTCCACTGTAGTACTAACTGCATTATCCAGCACACTCATCACCACCATCAGCATCTATACCATCACCGACCTTCCATGTGGCTCTTATTGCGCCCACTTCAGCTTACTATTCAAACTTTGCTGAATAAACCTTCAAACTTTTTAAACTAGATTAAATGCACTCAATATTAAACATTATTTACATGTGATTTAGCATATTTGATATCATTCATTCACTCACATTCCTTGGTCCACATCCTCAGTGTGTTTGTATTCATTTACCTGGTCGGCGTAGCGCTGTGTGAGGTAAAAGGCTCGTTTCACCTTCTCATCAGCAGACAGATCTGGCTTGGTCTTCTCCCTGGTCCCCCCACACAGACTATATACAGACACAGAAACGCACATGCACACACACACAGTTGTTGATTCACCTACAAGGTATTTCCTGAGGATGTAGTTGATTGAATTATACTGAAAGTTCTTCTTAAACTAGAACCAGAATTAACCAGTTTTATCTGTCATAGAACCCCTTGTGTGGATCCTAATGCTAGCGCTGTAGGGTGTACTACCTCCTCCCTACCTGCTGGTGGAGCTGGAGGCGCTACTGCAGGGGGCGATCACATCTTCTCTTTGGGGTATACGGAAGCCAGCCAGGTTCAGGAGGTCTCTGATCATCTGACCTTTGATGGAGACATCCAGCGCCGTGTTTGAATGGAGGCTAGACCGGAAACACAAAACGTTATGAGATGTAGTGTGTTTTTTTTGTGTCTGTATGTGGATGTCTGTGTGTGGATGTGTGTGCAGGTGTTACCTTGGCGATATGTTGACCTCCAGGATCCAGGGTTTGAGGTTCTCGTCCAGCATGATGTCAAAGCCGAACAGCTCGTGGCAGCTGTAGGGTGTCCGAACGTTCATCTTCAGCAGACTGTTAACGTACGGTTCGGAGCTGAGAACCAACACACAGCGGGGAGATTAGAACTCATTTCATCATCATTATTAGTTCAATAATGAGTGTCTTCCTTCTCATCCTCTGCTACAGCTCCAGCAGGTCGCACACGTTTCTGAGATTCCATACCTCTACCTATCTACAGAGGGAGTGGATCCTCAGTAGCCCAGAGTGGACCCTGGCTCTTAGATAGGGCCTTTCATGCTTTTTCCCAGTTTTGCAGCCACTGTAGCTTCTCCTGCATGCTTGGATGGCAAACTGTATTCAAATGGTTGCAATCTGCAACTTCCCCACTAAATCCTACACACAGGTCCTTTAAGACTGAGGAACATTTTTCAACAATAATGATGAAAACAGTAAGATTGCAAGTAAAAGGAAATGTAGAAATAAACCAGCTTTGAAAAAAAAAAAAAAAAGCTTGCTCTACTAAAGCTTTCATAAAATAATGAGTACAAAAGAAATAATACAAACAGAACAATAGAAAGTGTGAAAAACAGTAACGGCTTCCCTGCAGTCGCTGAGTGACTGAATGGGCAAACTTACGCAATGACGGTTTTGATCACAATGTCTTTAATCTTCTCCCAGATCAGAGTGGTGTTGACTCCCCTGGAACCAAGATACTGCCACAAGGCCTTCAAAGCCCTGAAACACACACATACACAGACACACATTGTGTTGGAGTTGGGGAACACAGGCTCTGACACCCTGCATCTGAGTTTCACTTTTACAAACATCTGAGGGAGAAGAACCTGCTCTGGAGACAGAGTTATAGTTACTGGTTTAATTGAACTCTTTGAAGGAGCCAAATTAACACAAACCGAAAATGAATCATTCTTTCCTTAATTCGTCTTTCACTCCTAATTCACTCCTTAATAGTCTTCTTGTACTAAGTGTTGGTCTGCATTAGTGTTGTTTTTGGCGGCCTGTTTTAATTTTAGTTTTAGTCTAGTCTTTGTGTCAAACTGTCCTTTTAGTTTTTATTAGTTTTAGTCACGTTTTATACTCTTTTTTAGTCAGTTTAGTCAACTAAAAGTCTGAACATTTTAGTCTTATTTTAGTCAGAATTATCCATGACTATTTTCGTCTAGTTTTAGTCGACGAAAACTGATGACATTTTAATCTAGTTTTAGTCAATGAAAATTGTATTTTAGTCTCTTTTTAGTAATGCAATTCTATTTAACCCAGTTAATATAGTACAAGTACCTAGTATAGTATGGACAAAACCAAAAATGTCTTTAAGTCACCCATTTCTCAAGTCAAACAAGGTTATCTTATTATTATATTATTGTTACCTTATAGACTCAAGAATACATTCAATTCCAGACACGGAAGACGCTCTGATTTGAATTTACAACATATTTATTTTACCTACCAAACATGTAAGAAATACACACACACAAACTTAAATAAAATAAATAAATAAATAGCTTCAAATGACAATGCCAGAAAAAATTTACATTACATTCAAGTTGAACTTGTTTCTTGAGTTGTCCTTAATGTTAACCCACCGCAGCTGCATCTTCTAAATAATGCCGCGAGTGGGGATTAAGGAAGTGACGTAGCTTGCGTCTGCGCAGTACGCTGATGCAGCCCCGAGACTCAGGAAACAGAAATATTGCAAAATAATAATAATAGCGAGACGAAATAACGTTATAACATTTTGTCTCGTCTAGTTTTGGTCAATGAAAATGAAGAGATATTTTAGCAGAGTTTTTATTTTGCAAACCACACTTAGTCCCGTTTTTATTCGTCAACAATATTGCATTATATATTTGATTATAGTTTTCGTCACATGACCACCATTTACGTTGTGTCTCGTCCTCACTGATAAAGTTCTTACACATATTTAGTCATAATTTTCGTTGACGGAAGTAAGACTAGTCTGCATTCCCCACCCTTTCCACCTCTAACCCTGCCTTTCACACACACACACACACACACACACACACACACACACACACACACACACACACACACACACACACACACACACACACACACACACACACACACACACACACACACACACACACACACACACACACACACACACACACACACACACACACACACACACACACACACACACACCTTCCTGCCACTCCAGCCCATTTCACCCCCTGCTTCTTTTCTCTTTCTCTTACCATTTGTGTCCCTGGCAGGCCTTGTCATCGCTGTTATCCTGGTATTCTGAGTTTTTCTTGTTGACGCTGTAGTTGGTCAGGTGCATGAACTTGTTACCCAGAGTCTTCATGGAAGATGAATATCTAAACAGGACAAATAAATCACATATTACCTCAGTTATCAGCTTTTTCCCAGTCTCTGACATATTACAGTGTACAGATTTTTAGATCATATATTTCTACATATGTATACATATATATTACTTGTTCCTCCTACAATGACATTAGGGATCATTTATCATTTATGTTCCATCTTATGTAAACTGATGTACAGTATTTGGCTTTGCGACTTTGGTGGATGTGATGAAAACTGACTTGCAGCTGGCGAATCGAACCAGTCCGTCAGAGAAGATGTAAATTCTGAGCGGGTCGTAGGATGTCACGTAGACGTAGATCCTCAGGTCAAACTTGTTACCGCCGATGAGGTAGGGCTTGTGAAGGTACCTGCAAAACCAGAAAACAAATGTGTATCCAAATGACGATTATATTGTGCAGTGTCAGACTGTTGGGAGATGGTCTCTGGCCTACTTACTTCTGGACCAGCAGCGGTCTCTTGCGGGGCAACTGGCTCCATCTGTGGATGACCTGGATACCTATTCCTCTGGCTGATGCGGGCTATTAGAGATGAGAGGAGGAAGAGAGAATGTAAAAAAAGTTAACTCATCAAAACAAAAACATACTTTTATTGAAGCATGATAATCTACATTACTTATTGGAAACTTTACATAAGTAACTTGTTTCACCTTTTAAATCAATTAAAATCAGTCATCAGTCATCAACCAGTTATCCAGCAAATGAAACACACAAGACAAAACTGAAATATTAATAAATAAATCTGTAATCAGTAATGATTAACACTGATGTTTACTAGCATCCACAAAATCCAAAAGATCCTATTTAGTCTGTTTTCCCCAAGTTTTGAGACGGATTTGTCTTTAGTACAGTTCAAAGTCAACTGATTATCTAAGTATCCACTACAATAACGTACAGGTTTGATGATCCACTTCTGCCTGGAGCCACTGTCCTCCCAGGCCTTGCGAAGCAGCTTGATGTCCTGAGGGAGGACGAAGGTGCGGGGGAAAAAGCTGAACTCTTGTTTGCCAAAGCGAACCTGCATCTTAGACAGATTCCTCCACAGCCGGTCCTTTCTACCAATCTGAAACGTTCCAGGGAAGTGGTTCAACTAGGAGAGAAGAAACACAAACAGTGAAGTGGAATTCTGGACAGAGGAACTGAAAGGTCATTGGATAAATTTTACCTTCCTGCTAGTGTATCGACTAGTGCTGTCAAACGATTAAAATATTTAATCGAGATTTATCGCATTAATGTCATAGTTAACTCGCAATTAATCGCACATTTTTATCTATTCTAAATGTCCCCTGATTTCTTTTTGTCCCATTATTTTTTCTCATTTTAACGCTCTTATCAACATGGAAAAGTGGATCAGCTTGCTTTGTGCAAATGTTGTTTTTATTGAATACAACATTGGCATATACTGTAGTGTTCAATTTGACACTAACATTCACACTTGGTGCAAATAATCTCTCACACAATGTAACACTGTCCATCAATAAAAGGGTGAAAAAAATACTTTGTCACACAAACAGCCCCTCCAACAGCCCTTTCTAAGGGATCAACACAGGGCGATACAAAATAAAATTACAAAGTGCACATGTAAGGTAAACTAGGACCGCCTATAGTGCAGTTAAACCATAGCTTAATACTTTTCTCAAGTTTTCTTTGAACATAGCAGTCAGGCTACTGCTCTTTATTCACCAGAGGCTCAACCCAGCCTCTTATTTCAGAAAGAATGAACAGTAACGGTTACCAATAAAAAGTAAGCCTACTACTTCTTTGCTTTGAGCCAGTTACTCAAACAGACAAGCCTTCATTCATCCATTCAGAATATTATTGGCATCCATTTCGGCATCTGGCACTCGCCATCCACTCAAAATGTAAAGTCTACTACTCTTAAACAAGTGTGTGCGGCATGCCTGTTGTTTTGTTTCCGGTCTAGCTAGATCCCGTGTGGTGTTGTAGTTTTTCTAACGTTACTAGTTGTTGCAACAGCATGTGAAAAAAAACGACAAAGTGTGCTAGGCCAAAAAGAACGCTAATAATAAATGAATAATACATTTTTTAATAATAAAAAAATTTACCCCGTTAAAATGGGTTGCGTTAACGCCGTTAATAACGCGTTACACTGACAGCACCAGTATCGACAGTTTCTCACCTTCTGGTGCTCTCCGAGGGACTTGAAGGCAGGAGACTTCATGTGGTGTCCCCAGCAGCCCAACCAGTCGTGGCTTTCTACATCAACAACGGGACGAAAAACAGATTTTGATCATCCAGGGCAATTTCCACAGTTTTCTCTTACAAGTGTGTACCAGGAGTAAACTACAAAACATTACCTTCCAAAAATATTTTTTGTTTTCCAATTAATTTTGACAAGGAATGTCAGGGTTCCCACTCTTGCTTACAACTGGTCATATAATTGTCCAGTAAGTAGTATTTAAACATTTAACTCATTTTGAATGATGACGAGTTCATGATGAAGTGTCTCAGGTTCATTACATGTCGTTGGTTAGCATGTTTTGGACACTGCCTTTTAGCTCGCTTTCGTGGCTGTTCTCACAAGAGCTGATTCTTCCACTGCAGTCTCCGGCAAACTGACTACAATTTACTGCAGTTCTATATCCGTAACATTCATTTGGCCAAAGCCCAATACACAACAGTTAAAATCAAGTAGAAAAACTCATAGCTGTGCATGTATTTATCAACCACAACAACAAAAAAATAGACATTCCGCTCTGCAACAGGTGTGAAAAGCTAGACTTAGTCAGTGAGATGGGAGCTGAAATAAAAAGGGAGCATTTTTCTGTCCAGCTTTGCGTCTGGTAAACTCACTTAGATTTACGTTTATGTAGGCCATCTGAGTGAGGGGAGAAAGTACAATGAAAGTTTTCCAAGACAACATGGATCATTTCCAGGATATTTGGCCATTTTTAATAAATTTCCAGGCATTTTCATGACTTGAAATTTTTCCAGGTTTTCCAGGACGTGGGAACCCTAAACATGCAACCACAGCAGTTTAAAGTAAAGTGATATTATGCATGATGTCAGTGACTGTTGAGACACTTGAGTCGTAGACAACTGATTTAATATGAATTGCAACAAAATTCTAAATAAACAGGGAACAGGATCTATATTTGCAACATTCAAATGTTGACACCTGTAAACACTGAGCACTGTGTAGCTGCTCAATGCTCCTCCTCAATGATTCAGTCCACAAAGACGAAGTTCAGTTTGATGTTCGGCAGTCTATAACGTCTGTCTATGATTTCTGAATTAAGTGTTGCAAATGAAAATGCATCTTAAGACACGTGTGATGACTTACTCTTGGTGACTTTGAAGTGTGACCTGGCAATGGTGTGTTTGACCACATTTGGCGTGACGGCGCTCATCTTCCACTTTAACAGTCGTCTTTGTTCTGCGGGCAGCAGCTCCACTGCAGAACACACAAAGTATTTTACAACCGTATTATAGTAAAACACATCCTGCCCACATAGACTGTAGGCATAATGCAAATATTGAAACAGCACTTAGGGAAAACTAAAATAATCATTAAAAATAAAATAAAAGTGGCAATCTTAGTTAAACTGGCTTAACCCTAACCCTCTTAAAGGAATAGGAGATGAAGCATTAACCAGTGGATCAGTGCATAAAGCAAAAGTGCGAAACTGTAGATAAAGCCGACAGTTTATAGACAAACAAGTTAATCACAATCCCTGAAAACTGAGCAGCATCTCTGTGCAGTTTGACAACATCATGATGGACAAGATGCAGAGACAGTCCATTACATTAAATTAAATTAGCATCTCGTTGTCCAGACTGCCCATTTAACCCCTTGTGTGAGGGAGCTTGTAATATCTTCTTTTAAATTCCATTGCAGATGATGGCATAAAGGATTTAAACTTTGGAAGGCAATGCCGTCTACTGTTATCTAGGGCTGGGCGATATGGCTTAAAAATAAAATCTCCAATTTTTTCACACCAAACCCGATTTACGATTTTAATAGTTTTTTTGTAGACTGTTTTTTAGCGGGTGTTTGTGGGCTGCGGTCCTGTATACCTCTGCTTGAGGTGCTGGAATAAATTTGTGGTACTGCTACCTTTGGTTGCAACAGCTTTCAAACAAACTTTGCAGTGGGTCATGGTTTGTTCGCTGTCGGACGCCACAAAACCAAACCAGTTCCAAACTGGCGCCCAGCCCTACTGTTACCGTTGATCTCATCCTCTAACACAGTAAAATATACACAGTAGGCCTATATCTCAGCATTATACTGTAATTCTTCTTATTTTAAATTATTATTTAAGATCTAAACTTTAAAGACCTTAACACAGGGCCTTCACTCTCTGATAAACCGCTTCATCTTGCATCAGAACGCAGTTAAAACAACCAAAGAGCTGGTAGAACAATGAGAAGAACACTGAATATGTTAAAAAGCCTAGTAAGTATAAATAAGCAACAGATGTGCGTGTCCCGACCTTTCTCATTGGCGGTGCTGAAGTAGAGAGTCGGAGGGATGAGGGGAAACAAACTGGGAACCAAAGCTGGTTTCTCCTCTCGGTCATCTTCCGCCCCCAATGACATCGGCTCCTCAATGCTGAGAGACAGAGAGAGACACAGACAGTGGAGATAAACACATGAATGATTGATCCAAATTAGAGCTGCCCCCTAAAAGTCAACCTAACTGTTGGTCGGTGAGAAGAGTCTCACAAAGTTTTAGTCACAGGAAGACTCCTTTCAGGAGCGATAAAAAACACGAAATGTATGGTGTTGTATTGTATTTCCATTATTGTTATATTTGTGACTCGGGATGATCAATTATTAAATATAATAGTTTCTTCCTCTTGACTTTTACATCATTGGACAACTGCAAACTTGCTGGCATTGATAAAGACATATACGATTCATATGGATACATATGATTCCGATGGATCAGCAGATTGCTCTCACATATATGCCATATAACAGCTGTTCATCTCTGTGATGGTCAGAACTGTGATTTAGACTTAAAACTCCCATTGTTGACCAAAACAGTCTCTCTAAAGACAGCCAATATGGACAACATTTTGCTAATCATTTTTACTCGTCCCATCTAACAGAAGAGCTTCCATTACAAAAAATACATCAACCACAAGAATCTTAGAAAGTGAAGATGTGATATTTGACTGTGTGTCTATAGAGCTAATTATTAACTACACACTATGTGTCGCAAACCTGTAAACTCCATCTACAATGGTTGTTCAAGTGTTCTACTGAAGACGGTGTGGTCCCTGCCCCGCCGCCAGCACCGCGGGTCTGCTTGGCTTGTTACAATTAAACAAGCAAATTGCAGTCTCACAACAAAATTAAAAAGTAATGCAGCTAGAATTACCTTCACTGACTTCTAACTAACGGAAGCTGGCATCCAGAAACCACTCTGGTTTGTAACACAAGTTGCCTGCAGCCTGCGCAGCTGATAGTTTGCACTATGCGCCGGTAACACGACCCCGTGGATTTAAGGTTAGAGACATCGCACGGAGACTGCAAGTACATTTTGACACAGAGGGTTGAGACAAATGAAGCAAGCCCTCAAGAGAGAGACCGTTTGATCTAGTTCACACAATACTAAGTAAGTCCAACATTAGCAGAGTCCTTTTTCCTACATAAACACATTTGATCACACCAGATAAACACAAAATAATGAAAAACTAAAAAAACTCACATGACAGTCATATAGGAAGGAAAGATGAAAAAGCAGATGGATGAAGGAACAGGAGATGGTACAATCCAAATTGTTTTTCCTTAAATTAAATCCCTCCACCACAAACAGGTATACATCAGCATCACAGCTAGACTAGGCTAACTTAACACTATACTATACATACAGAAGCTGTAGCTTTCAGGAAAGGGTGGGCGGGGTGTATGTAAACAGCAAATCAGCTGGTTGTGGAGAAAAAGAAAAAAAGAAAGAAAAAAAAAGGTGACAATAGCGGTCCCTATCCAGGCGGTTTTAGCAAAGAATCAGCTCCGAGTCTTTGGTAGGGAGTTCTACTGTTGAGGCCATCACAGTGGAGAACAATGTGATGACACAATGCAGCAGACCTTTCCACCATGCTCTGCTGCTTTCAGCCTCTTTTAACAATGCAGTGAGAGAGAATGGAAGAGAGGGAGAATAAGTCCACAGGATCTGGTAGATATACGTTTAATGCCATTTTAGGAGACCAATTAGAACCAGGCTTGGATGCTGGGCCGGGCCAAGGAAAGGACATTCTATTATTGGACATTCTTCTTCTGAACTGTAAGTTGGTGAAGCTGAGAACAACACTCTTAAAGGCTCGTAAATGGACTTGGGACAGCTCGTTAGAAACAACAGAGAGCGACAGTCCTCTACACAGTTAGCGTCAGTCAGTGTTTTTAGGTTCTTGTCACATGAATAAATGAATTAAGAGTGCGTGTGTGGTTATACAGTCTTACCCAGAAAGGAGAGTGATGGATGCTGTTGCTGTGGACGAGGATGAACAGTCGGAGTCATCTGAAGACAACAGAAGACAACTAAAATCAACGGTTTACAACATCAGTACAGCAAACTGCCAGCTAACTAAATAGTAGTCTGAGTGTGCGTGTGAGCGTGTTTTAATGTCTTACCGTCGTCACTACAGGCATTCTCAAGCTCATCAGGCAGCTCCTCCTCAACTCCATCCACCTGCATAACACACTCCTGCCTGGAAACAATTGACACGAGGCCAAACAGTCAGAATTGGAACGGTGAAAACAAAAACAGAAGATTGAGAAGCAATCAATACTTGCAATCAATAATTAGGAGACCATGACGGTGAGATTTGGATCTAACGTGGCGTCTTTGGGATTTCAACCGGCGACCCTCCGCTTCCCAAGCCAAGTCCCTACACACTGAGCTACTGCCGCCCCACCAATGAAGCTTTGGAGACCCTAGTTGGAACTGAACCACTGAAATAGATGATCTCCAGAAAGATAGCAGAAGATAACACGTAGCATGTGAGACAATCTCATATTTTCCAGAATCCCTAAGAACACAACGACAACCTCGACACACTCCTCAGAGACTTAATGCGCTCTGCTCTGAAACTACCATCACAGTAAACAAAATAACTTTCTACCACACACACTGACTTAGAGCCCGACCATCATCACATCATTTTACATTGTTCAGCAAAAAGATCTGGTGAAAAGCAAGATCGGAATTTGACAAATTCTGAAAAGTAAATAAATGAAAGATGGAAAGTACTGTAACGATCTTGAAAATACACAGACAAAAGGGTGAACAGTAGGCGTGGGCGATATGGGCAAAAAATAATATCTCAATATTTTTTGGGATTTGGGCGATAACGATAATCAGTCGATATCCTTTAAAATGTGATTAGAATTGTCTGAGCTGGACTTGTGTCCACCAAACGCGTTTACAGCGCTGAGAGAGCTCAAAAACTCATTTTCCGAGCGGCCAGCGGTGTTAAAAGTTGAACAGATTTCAACTTGAAGCACTCTGAGCGCTGCGCTAAAAAAAACCGGCTCCGCTGACATCTTTTTACCGCTGAAGGCGCTTAGCGCTCTGAACGCTGAAGCCCATAGGACCCACGTCTCGGCACTAAATCATCTGAAGTACCGGTAGCTTCAGGGACTGGAGGTGCTTGCATTTTCTCTCTACCATCACTACGCGCTGCTAAACTGTTGCAAGGAGGATGCTAGCGAGAGGTCATGTGATCACGTCATGTGACTGAATCCTGCCATGCTGTAGAGAGCGTTGCTGCACCGTGTATTAATGGATGTGAGGAGTTTCCACGGGCGTTTCATTGTTTTTGTCGAAGTAATTTAAATACTCGATAATGGAAATTTGCACATCGTCAAAACAACAATGACGATATTATCGCAAACGATATACATCGCCCACCTCTAGTGAACAGGCCAGCCTGGTTGTATACAAACTGTACACTGAAGGACTCCTCCATCACCTCGTTCACACCAATACCAATAGCTCCTTTCACTGTCCTCCTTTCGCTGGAAGATAAAAGACCTCGACCATCTAGTGAAGCGCCGCTGCAGACGCAGCTGAGACAGGCAGCGTGACCACTCTAATCTGTTGACATGGGTGCCAAAATAAAAATCAAGATGCGTGAACAAGCTGTAACAGGAAAAAATACATAAATAAATCTCCCTGGATAAATGGCTTTAATAAACTCAAACCCCTTCCCTATTTTGTTATTAATAATGGACATATCAGAAATATAAAAAAAAAAAAACACTAGCCAAAAAACACTAGCCAATATTTATGGATCTAATTAGGACAATCTATTTAAGTTAATCAATTATAGTTTAATACAATCCTTAACCTAAAACTTGACAGGTCAAGTCCTGGAAACACTCACAGAACAGGGTACTCATCTGAAGTTATTAAAAAATACAAGATCTAAGAAGATCTAGGACTCAAAGATCATTCATATTACTCACCCCCTCACAAATGTCTTGTATCGACTACTTCCCAGCTAGTAATTCTATTATATCTCAAATTGACAAACGTGAAATTCATCTAATAATCATCTCAGACCATGGTCCAGTCAGCTTTAAATCGAGTCAATGAAACCACCCCAACTCCCTCAAGTGGGTGGCGGTTCAACACCTCACTTCTAGCAGACAAACATTTCAACAGTCTCCTGTCCAGAGAGTGGAAGATATTATACATCAGCAGACCCAATTCCTCATGCAAAGAATCAGAATGAATTATTAAGAACACAACGAAAAAACTGGTAAAAACCTCACTAATCGGCTAAAAAAGACAAAGAAAGGTAACTTATTCCCAGTCCAACCAACATCACACTAGTTTAACACTATAGATTCTATCCTAACTATTCTATTGGAAACAGAAAAAGGCACAAATTAATCAATTGTTATCAACTCCTGGATGCAACAACACCTTCTCAATGTCCCAGAACACCAACTGTAACTTATTCAATACACAATCCTTTACAGAGTTCACCTCAGCTAACATAGATTACACAAAATGGGACTCACAGACAATGTCACCTGCACACACACACTGCACATTAAACAGCACCACCCATTCAAACATTCTGGAAAAACACTGAAACACCGGGTCACAGCATTCCAGTCTCCCCATCTGTGTGTCTGCGAGGAGATCTTTCTTCAGTTGAACCGCCACTGAAATACGAACAACCCACTCTGGTCGCCTTAACCATCGCTAAAAAGACATTAGCCGTTTCTCACCCAGACAGCTGAGTCTCTCCAGCAGGACACTCCTCTGCCGGCCAGGGAGAGGAGGGGAATGGAGATGAAGGTGACATGGAGGCTTGCTGTCCCTGCCTGGTGAGGTGGATTGTGGAGATCTGAGTGGTCACAGAGCCCACCAAGGCTCCTGCAGGACAGGAAGCCACATCTACAAGAGAAAGAGTTTTTAATGGTCTATTTCTGGTTTAATGCTAGTTACTTAGGAACTGAAATATTACTTATTGAGAGTTTAACACTCTAAAAATGGTAAAGTTCAAGCTTCATCAGGACTGTGTGGTGTGGGAGTGGTTTGATCAGACAAGAAAACTGGATCAACTTTTCCCCAACTTAGCTCCGCTACTTCAAATCAGTGAGAGTGAAAGCCGCATAAATTACAGCTGTCTTTTTTCCAAGCTTACATGTTATCATTTTTTAGGGCTGTAACCGACTCGGATTTGGCTGAATACGATTTCTTCAGTTCAGGGCCACATGTCACTCCTGTTTCAGCAGTTCCTGCGGTGGAAGCGCGGCTACAGAAGTCTCATGTTTCAACCTGACTTCTCCGCTTCCATCACAGTTAGTTTTGTGGTTTGTGGTTGTTTTGAGAGTGTAAAGTGTACAGCCTGCCGTGCCAACAAGGGCAGCTACAAAACAAAGGTGATGATAGAGATTTGACTGACAAAATGCAAGCTGACTTGGGCTCTTCTTGACTGATGGCTCGAATCATCAGGATTTTTAAAAATTCCATAGGATCTTTTTTTTCTATAACCAGAAAACGTTGGCGCATGCATAGATGATGCTAACATATTTACAATCTACATTCTCACAAAACTATTGTGAGATGTGCATGTGGTCAAAGATAACATCATGCCATGTATGTATGTCATTCTTTCTCTAAAGATGAACATTATCAAAGTTACATAAGGAAGTTACTATTGCTTTGGCCTCTGATCACAAGTCCTTGCATATTTCTGTAAACCTCAAACACATTCAATCTTATCTTTGATATGTTTGAGGTTCTTCGCTGCCAATCTGCAGATTCAATACCCAGACAATCTGCCACTCACTTGTCCTGCATCCTACAGTACATAACCAATCATTGTGATTACCTGTGACGGCTTCTGGCGGTGTGGGCTGCTTCTCCTGAGTGGCACTGACACTGGCACTGAGAACACTTGGCATGGGGCCATCTGGAATGGGACTGGCTACTGGAGGACAGACTTTTCTGCATGTGGACAAGGTGCTTCCTGGTGGACACTGACTTTCTGGGGCCTGCTTGTTGCTCAGGTCCAGTGATGCCATAGTTTGGGGCTTGCTGATTGTAGTTGCTACCACCACTGCTGGAGGACCACCTCTCACTAGCAACTGACTGTTTAAAGCAGTTACTGTTGTGCAGCTGCTTTGTGTCTGACTGCATCTTGCTGCTGGTTTTGCTGAATGGCTCCTCCGTGTAGTTGTTGTTTCTCTTGTTGTGCTTTTTATTTCTGCTTTTGTGCTGTCAAAACAGGAGGCATCCTTTCCCAACGCTGCGCCCAGATGTTCACCGAGAGTAAGGCATAGAGGAGGCACTGAAGGCAAGGAGGAACAGTCTGCAGCTTCAGGCTACAAAGACAAAGCAAGGAAAGGTCAGATGTGGAGGAGGCTGTAAGCAGACACACACAAAGCTTACAAAGTGTAAAAGATTAACATAGTCAGTAATTACACTGAACAGACAGCTCAACTCTAAGGTATTGATATTCAAATGAAAGCGGAGTTCATTAGCAAGGGTATGAGTGCAACACGATGTATCATCTGATTTTTTTCCCCATAAAAAAATAACGTTAAAACTAACCCCACAGATTAGTTTTTTAAGAGCTGTGACCAAGATTCATAATCGTCAGGACATTTTAGAAATGAAAAATCAATCCCCATCAGGGAAACGGTCAGTGTTTGGTTTGTAAGTTCTGAGCTACTATAGAAACGTGCAAGAGAGTATTTTTGCATTGTTTGTCTGTAGTTATGTTGTAAAGTACAAATAAACACGGCAACACCTCCACACAACCCTGCAGGAAGGAGCCACATTGCCGGATTTTGTGTGAATGCTGCCACACACCTCTTTTTTCTCTTTAGGAAATCCTACTGATTATGCCTTTAATGTAAGGAGTTGAAACTTTATTGAATGAAGCTCTCTTTATGATACTGCTGGGACAACGCTGCACATTGGGAAACATGAATACTCACCATCGACTTGTTCGTTTGCTGCAGAGAGGGCTGTCCTCTGATCAACAGGTCTTGATGACAAACTGACAAGAGAGACTCCAATCCCAGCGGCACATCACCTGCGGCGCCCTGACGTCGGCTCATTGCTAAACCGTTCCCAGGTTGAGAGGCTTGAAGCGACATACATTTCTGCATGGTACCAGTCTGCTTCAGTCCTGCTGCCAGTACCCAGTGTGGGTTTTGAATCCCATTAAGTTGTTGTGGCATTTTTGGAGACCCATCTGGCACAGCGGTGAATTGGCTCTGGGTGTTGGTTTTATTTCCATCCCCATTCTCCCGTACAGAAAGCACAGATGGGGTCACTGCTGAACTAGAGGAGCGAGGTCTGGCTTGGTCCTTTCTCCTGGACAGCTCAAGGGAAGTCTGACTAAAAGGCACTTTAGTGGCCGCAACTGTCTTGGCGTGTGTACTTGCAGTGGTGGGCCTATCAGCGTTGGAGCAAGTCCGAAGCTTCCCCCCACCCCAGGGGGAGGATTGGTTGGTGGGCATGGCACCGCCCAGTGAAGATGGAGTTATGTATAGAGGACTGAGTTCAGGGGCAGAGGTTGAGGATGGAGAGTGGAATTAACAGTCGAGATAACACTAAAGCCTGAGGTGGAAGAGGGTTCTCTTCCCTAAAAGACCGCGATCCTCCTTGTGGCTCCCCTCTCAATGGGTGGTTCTTCAGTAGGAATGACTGTTGAGATGTCACCTCCAGCTGAATGGAGTTGGAAATGTAGATTGACTACAAGTTCTTGATAAATCCTGTACAACAGTGAACATAACTGCCACCACGGATGCAGGGACAGCAACGTTTGGACCTAGCTGCAAGTCAGCGGGACACTGTTAGCTCTCGGTAGCGATGCACCTGATGCTCACATGAAGCTCAAGAAAGGCAGGCACATAAGGCTTTTTTTTCCTGAGGAAGTGGTCCACACTCTAACTAACAGTGACCCTCAGAGTTCAATATAAGACAGAGGCTGAGCCAGGGAGTCCTGAGGACATTAGCTGATGTAGACTAAAAAGTAGTTACTCTTCCTTCTTCTCAACAACTCTGGGGATAAAATGTACCCCTCAGGCTGCCTGAGACCGCATACTTGGCTCACACTAAGATATCAGGTCCTGGAGGAGAAACTGGTGTCCTCATGTCTTCCTCAGTTGAGTCACAGGAGGACCTAAACCAACAGCATTCACCACTGAAACTACAAGAGGAGAAGCAGTGTCAGTCTGACAGAATCCAGTCTTCTGATAATGATAAATCCTGATCTCTTTACTCTTTATAAGGAAAGAAAGTCACTCGAAACCTTTGTAGTATCGAAACCAACAGTGAAAGTTATTTCCTCTACCTTCACCTGTTGTTTATTAGCAATTTAGCAGGTGTGTTTTAAGAGGTAGAAAAAGATAGTGGTTTGTTTAAACAAAGGGTACCACCATTATGTGAGCAGTGAAAAAAACATATAGTGAAAACATCTCCTAAGTCTAAGAAAATAAATAGCTTCATGCCAGTTTTCAACAACAGCTACACAGTTAAAGCTGCATTTTTTGCCATATTTGCTGAAACTTCCACTTTATCCTGACAGAAATAAATGAGACACATAATCTGTGAAATAAACTCAGGTTCCTCTGGCTCCTAATGGCATTTACAAGAATCCACCGGGCCTGAACGAAAACAATCAGACCATAGAAAGATAGGAAGACACCTTGGAGGCTTGAATATAGTTGATTGTTGAGTCTCATTCCAACAATCCCAAAGTGTCTGTATTTCACAGCCTGGGAATGAGACTCAACTCTATCAACTCACCCATCTTTCTTGGCTCTGATTGGTTGTTTTCATTCAGGCCCGGTGGATTCTTGCAGTTACCATTAGCAGCACCAGGAGGAGGCAGATGAAGCTGATTTTTTCACAAATGATCTGTCTCATGTACTACTGACAGGATATAGTCAAAGTTTCATAAAATATGAAATTCGAAAAAAATACCTACTGCAGCTTTAAACTACACTGAAAAGGTTGCTGTAAGTTAAGTGAGCTCATTAAGTAGAAGCCCAATAAGTGAAATCGCGGTTATGTGAGCTAGATAAGCTAAGCGAGTGAGGTGTAAGCTAGCCTGCGTTACTAAAGCAAAGTATCAACGTACACGATACAAAAAGGAGTTTGTCATTTTTCTTAAAGTCCGTCTTTTCAGGGACATTTTCAGCAGGCATCGTGCCGCGGGTTGAGACTAGCCGACCCTGCTGTCAATGTGAGGGCTGTGCTGGCTTCACGTGTGTGTGCTCACAGGACACACCGCTCCGACCTTAGCTTGGCTAACTAACAAATCTTTCAGAATGATGTAACTAGTGAAAATAATAGCGTTAGCTCGGGCCACACTGGCTCTAACACCAGTATATTGTAAACACACATTGTTGAGGTTTAGTTGAGCTGACCTGACAGCTAACTAGTTACCAATTACCTTACGCTAGCTTCGTTTGTGTTTACCCAGCACCGTCCACACAGTTAGCTTAGCAACAACACAACACCAACTGTCACCGGGTGTTTGAAAGACCCCCCCCCAGTGACAACAATAAAACTCAAGCTTTATCTGTTTATAAAATGTGTTCATACCCACTTCGTCCCCTGCGGTGTTCCTAACATGTTGTCCCATTGGTGTGGCGATGGGCTGCTGCTCGTTGGAGTTTCTCACATTGCAGTGGTTAGCTGAAAAGTCCGAGTGAAACATCATGGCCGAAGATCGTCTATTGAGACAAGACCTCCCTTCAGGGTGCGCTTCTGAATCAGAGCGCCCTCCACTGGTTGGACGCATGCAGCAAGAGTTCACCTACAGCAGTTTACTACTACATATTTTCTTGTAATCTTTTTTTAAATCTTTATGAAACACTGGTATAACCTAATCGGAGTGCTTCAGTGTGATGCACTCAAAAGTAAGTGTGATCCTAAACAGGTTTCTTTGTAATAAGTTGCTTGTTGTGTGTGTGGTATTTGGATTTCCTTGCTAAACGTTTGCATTAAATAGCTACAAAGATCATCAATAAAGTCAATCAGTACCTAATTATTTGTGTGCTTTAAAATGCGGTCTGTTTATTTCACTCATTCCCGTTAAATAAATGATTTTACATATATATTGATGCACACAGGCAGTATTTTGCTTTGCATCACTTTCATTCATCACCTGCTGCCCTCTCTATCACATTTAGCAGATATATATCAAAGAAATATAAAGGTAATATATGATTTTTTTTAAATCCTTGAAAGTTTTCTTTCAGTTCTAAACTCAAATGTAACTTTCTGGAATTAGTGTTAAAATACAGTAAAGGAATGCACTCTAAGAAAAAAGAGATGAGCAGAATAGTTAGACAGAGGGTGTAGTATGTTACAAACACCATCAGTAAAACTGAGTTTTTACTTTGTTTTACTCTGACCATTTGTGTTTTCAAAAGTACAATTATTATTGGATGTAATGCCAGGAAATTTGGTGCAGATATTGATTATAGAGCACACCCTGACTGGATTGTAAAGTAATCACAATACAATTATAATGTGTAGGAGAAATACCATCTGCCAGTAAAAGAGTTCATCCTATATAATATATACATTTATATTGTGAATTTATTCTGTTTTTTTAATCATATAATGATCATAATGATAAGAATAACAACACAGCTTGAGAAATTAGTGGAATGTCGCCATGGTGATGTCTTCTGGGCAACCTAGCTTTATAAACGTGTAGTCCAAGCATTAAAATGGCATTTTAGTTTCTTACTTCTTGGGAACTGAGAACAGCACAGCTAATACAATTACATTCTATGTTCTTGTTGTATTCACTCCATCTACAGAATCAGGGTCCTAGAAAGTTTTCTGCCTGCAAGTTGTTTGCCCATCTCTCTAAAAATGTAGCACGTGTTATAATATTTGTTTATAGTGTATGAATAAGCAGCTGACGTAATGCCAAGGGTATTTCAATGCATTGCTTTGTGTTTGAGTCTACAAAAAAGCCAGCCTTTCCTTTAATTGAGAGAGGAATCCCTAAATTACTTAATTAAAAGACAGCTGCCGTGAAAAGAGAACCATAAGAACTTAAAACATGAAAATATGAGGAGGGCTTCTTGGGAAAACAATGCAGCTAACTCTCATCAGCCTTTTCAAGGCTGTGTCTACTCATTCAAAGCACTGATTGTCTATATATGGACTGCAAAGAAAACTTTCAGTGCCCAAAAAGTGCCTTTATCCACTAAAACTGGGGAAATGAATGACTTAATATACTGGTTGATGGGATTCAGATTTAGTTGGTCCTATACTTTTATTTCCTTCCTGAGGACGGGCTTGTACGTCTCAAATTTCATCACTAGAGGGCTCACTGGGCAGAAGACCTCCCGCCTCTGCTCCTGTCCCGTCCTCCCTTCTTGTTCCTCTGTTTCTCCTCTCTTTATCCTCTTCCTTGGGTCCAGTTTTTCTATCTTCTTCCCTTAACATTTGCCTTTCCTCCCTCCTCACTCTCATCCTTCCCTCCTTAACATCCTTTCTGTTTCCTTTCCGCTCTACTTCCCTTCTTTCCTTCTCGTGCCCTTTTCTTTTCCTTTCTCCTTCCTTCCTCTCTTTTCCTTCTTTTTCACACTTCCTCGTAGTTTCCTACCCTTTCTTCTCTCCTTCTCATCTTTTCTTTATTTAATATTTTCCCCTTTCACTTTTTCCTTCTATTTACTGCCTCTTCATAACGTTTCCTCTCTCATTCCTCTTCTCATTTCCTCCCTGTTTCCATTCCCCTCTCCCTTCCTTCTTTTCCTTTTGCTCTCCTCCATCTCTTTTTTCCTCTTTCCTTCTCCCATCCATTTCTTTTGCTCTTTCCTCCTTTTCTCATTCCTTTTGCAGTTTACTAACCTTTCCTGTCATTCCATCATTTTCTCTCATTTTTCCTCTCCTCCTTTTTCTTCCTTTTGCTCTCCTTCTCTCTTTTTCTCTGTCCACCCCCCTGTCAGTCTCTTTTCCTCTCTTACCTTGGTAATTGCAGTTTCATATCCTCTCCTTTCTCATTCCATTCTTTTATTTCACTTTTCCTCTCCTCCCTTCCTTTTTCCTGCCTGTTCATCTCTTCTTTCTCGTTTCTACTTCCTCTATTTCTCTCTTCCACCTTCTTTCCTTTTCTCTCTTCTTTCTTTCTTCCACCTTTCATCCCCTGCTCCCTTCGCTTCCCTCATCCATTCTTCCACCCATGCTTTCTGGACTCTTAACTCTTCGTATCCTTCCGTCTTCTCCTCTTTCCCTTTTGGCATGTCAGAGCTTGCAGACAGAGGAAGAGAGAGAGAGAGAAGTGTGTGTGTGTGTGTGTGTGTGTGTGTGTGTGTGTGGAGAGAGAGAGAGAGAGAGAGAGAGAGAGAGAGAGAGAGATAAAGAGAGCAGGAGAGAGCGAGCAGACTGAAGCTGAGCAGTGAGTGGGTTGAGCAGCAGGAGTGCGTCTGTCCTCAGAGCTGTGGACGATCCAGTCTCAAGTGTCACTGGGAGCAGAGGGTCTGCAGGACAAACTGCTTGAAGGGGAGCAAGAAACAGGATCGGTCCTCTGAGAACTGAGTCCTGATCACCGGGGACAACATTTTCTTACTCCAGGATGATCCATCACCTTCCAGACCAACACAGAGCCTGAAGCTGCTCCGGCTCGGCTGAATAAATCATTCCAACTGAAAGAGGAATAAAGAAGAAGAAGAGGAGGGGGAGGAAAAGGCAGTCTATCAACAAAAGACGAGAACAACCAAAAAAAGATCTAAATTGGCGCCTTTGGGGACTTTTGGATATATTGTTCCCTCAGAAATTCAGAAGAAAGGAGGAATAAAGAAGAAAAAGTGACACGAGAAAAGAAGGGAAAAGGTTTCATTGTCAGAAGAACCAAATGAGGATGTTGGCGGCTGATGCATCCACTCAGATTCAAAGAAAAGAAATAAAGGAAGGAAATACAGAGATGAAAATAAAGATTGAGTAACAGAGGAAAACTGCAACCACTAGTGTCTGAGTTTGTCACCTTTCCTTTTCCAAATCCAGAAAAAAAGGAGAAATAAAGCAGAAAACAAAGAGATAAAGGAGGAAGTTTTTCTTTCACCCTAATGATGATGATGATGTCGTAGACCAACAAGGAAGAAAAGAAAGAACTAAAGAAAGAAAATCAGCTTGTCAGCTGATCAAATCAAGGGAATAGAGTCTGAGTTAAATTTTTATTTTTTGAAGAATTTAATATATTATTCTGAAAAAAGAGTGACGAAAACTAAAACAAGCCTGATTTTGCAGTGTGCTGATGACTAGGACCGACTGAAAAAGTCAAAGTAAGCTACAGAAACAGGAGTGAAGAGTCAAAAGTGACGGGGAAAAAAGGATACAGAGGAATAAAAATACATATCTGGATAAAAGGGAGGAAAGTAGAGAGGACAAGGAATTATAAAGCGGAGGAGAAAAGGAATAATCAAAGGGGAAAAAGGCAAAAAGAGAGTGAAGGATGAACCAAGAGGAAAGGCAAGAGTAAAGAGCAAAACAAGGACAAATCAAAAGAATAAGGAGGACAGGGGGACAAAAGTAGAAACAATTAATTAATTAAACAATTAATCCAGTTTAAAAGGGTTAAATCAAGAGCAAAGAACCAGAAGGAGCCAGGTGTGACAATGAGGCTCCTGGTGCTCCTTGCAGCTCCTCTCTCCATCCTCATCCTCCACATTGCAGTGGCAGCCCCTCCGGCATTCAGCATGGCCCCTGGCCGGTTGGAGCGCTGGGTCCGCTCTGGCCTCCAGTCACTGCAGTGGGACCAGCTGGACCGGTGCCTCCGCATGTCCTCGCTGTCTGAGGCGGAGTGCAGGAGGCTCGCCCACCTGCCTGTGTCCGCTGTGGCCGTTTATGTATCAGAGCCACGCACGGCTGCAGGTAGATCACACCTCACTGGGGTTTTTTCTTTTTGATTTAAAAGAACTGAAAGAGTCTGAATTTGCTGTTTCCAATTTCTTTTTTTTGCTTTGAGTTAAAACAACTTCACAAAATTAAGCAAATACAACACATTTTAAAGGAAAGCATATACAAAGTAATATATTTATATAGGTATATTTACTTTTATTTTACTAGGCAATCATTTACTTAAGATCAATTTGTCCACTTGATTTTACAGTAAATAATTCAGATTGTATCAGAAATGCAGAGAAAGAGGATGTTTGGGTTTGTCAGACCACTTCACAATATACTCCAAAAATCAGAACGGGCCTTTTTTTCAGGAAATTACGTTTATATAAAATATATTATATATTACAGTATTGAGAGCACAGGAGTAAAATAGAATAATAAAATGATGCATGTCTGAATTCCAGTTAGTGGTTTCAGGGTCCAGGTATTGTGCATGCTGGATCACTGTCACACTGTCACACTGTCATGTCTTATACTGGCACACTTTAATAGAACAGCCATCGTTAACATTAAATTCTATTACTACTATTACTATTACTAAGTCAAATTGTCTGCTTAAAAAGGTCCATAAGTGAAAACTTAAAATCAGTACATATATCTAATTATTAGATAATATAAATATATAGCATTGTTTTAAATGGATAAAAATAGAAAATCCCTTACACAATTTACCAGATAATGTCAAATTATCAGATTTAAATTACTTTTTTCTCTCCTGTATGCTATTGTATTGTCACTGTGTTACTTTAGATTAGATTTGCTTTGGAGGTGCAGCGTACTAATAGTATTATAATATGTATGTAGTCTAACCACAGTGTGTATGATTCCTGTCGACCTTCCTGTAGACAAGCAGACATTTTCTCAGATTTACCATAATAAATTTAGTGACCTTTACACATGGTTACACATAATATTCTATCTGTTCTTCCAAAACCCTTCAGGTAATGCAGACAAAGTTCTGGCCATCCTGCCGGACTCCTCAGGTGGGACGGTGAGTTCCAAAACACGGGGAGGTTTCAGCGTCAGCCAGGTACTGAATGGAGGGGAAGCTTCACACAGACACCAGCAGCCTTTCCCGGGCTCCACGGCCCATGATGCTGTGCTGGTGCTGGATCCGAGCCCCGGGGAGAACTTTGGACACCCAGTGGTCCTCTTCTATGTGGATGTGAATGTGACGAAGAAGAGATGCTCCCACCTGGATGGCATTTACCTGGGTGAGTCAGCAGACACTGACATTTGTCAGTGCATGTAATGTTAATTCATACTTAACTTTGTTTAAATTACTTATTACATGCAGGTGGATTTGGCTATTAATTGTAAATGTTTGTAAACTAATCATAATCAAATCATATCAATCATATAAAAAAATAAAAGGCAGTCTTTTGGATGCATTAACAAACAAACATTACAAATCATTACAAACCTTTAGTTGTAGTAATAGTACCGGCAGCAGTAGTAGTGGTACGGTTACGTGATTAAGGGATAATGTACGGGAGTCATTATTGTGAAATAAAATAAAAATAGGGGTGGTGCAGGATCCCAACACAAAGCCCTTGAGACTAAATACTGATTAAAAAAATAAAAAAATGATTTTATTGATTTAAGAACTGCATCCATAGCGATGGTCCGTAGAATGTCATAATTGACCATTTAAGTATTCAACAAAGCTGTGAAATAAAGTAGTGGTAATAACAGATAGACACCAGAAGCAAAAGTAGTAATCACTAACGGGGTGCAACAGGGCCCTATTCTTAGTTCATTACAATTTACACTATTCATAATAACTATTGTTCTTCCTAATCACCACTTCAAACTCCACTTTTATGCAGATGATACAATTGTATATGCTCCCAGTTCTACTCCAAGCCAGGCATCTTCAGCCTGCCTTTGATAGTTTCCAATTACTACTTCTTAATTACAGACTTGTTTTACATTCAGATAAGTACATGGTACTGTCCACATCCACCAGTGTCTCTGATGTTTCTGCCAATAAAACTTTAAAAGCTATCCATATCACTCCTGCCAAGTAACACAAATACTTGTGTTACATCAGACTGTCATTCAAGAACCTTATTTAACATTAAAATTAAAAATTAAAATTTCTGTATAGAATTAAAGGCTGTTTGTCTATTCTTAAACATGAACTATTGTTCCGTTTACTTTAAATGTCTGCTCTAAATTACGGAGATATGCTGTACTCACACTGCCCCATCATTACCTCAGCAGCTAAAACCCTGTTTATCATAGTCCATTATGCTTCATCTCTGTATCAAGGCCGGATGGACTTCATTCCTGCCAAGAAGAAATAGCTGTCATCTCATGATATGATCATGATCATGAGCTGAAGCTTTAACAGAATAACTAGAAAACTCTAATGTTACAACCTCCACCTCTCAACCTCACGTCCCCGCTCTCATTTAAATCTTTTAACCTTAGCTAAAATATATAAATTTGTTTCAGGTACTATACACCTTGTAAATGGCATAAACTGCAGTTTGCCCTCAAGCTAGATTTGTTTGTTCTCCTTGGAGATTTTATTCTCTAATGTTTTTATGACTCTTCTAATGTTTCTTTTGTTGACTCTATTTGTTTTTTATTGTTGGTTGTCTGGCTGTGTATGTGTTGTTTTAGTTGCTGGTTGTCTGACTATGAATGTTTCTTGTTATCAGGTTGAATGTGCGTGGTCTCACCCACTGAAAGCTCCATTTATAGCTCATTGTCTGATGCAGTTGACTTTCCTGCTCAGAGGGGGTTTGACCCAGCTACCTCGTCAGCACTTTTTTGCCCGCAGTAGCATCTGATCTTTGTCTGTGTGTTTGCATGTGTGTTCGTGCTCTTCTATCTTTGTGATAACCAACTACAAAATGGCCAAAGTTATGAAAGCACTGAAATTGTAATACAACTTAATTTTAAGTTTAGAGTGAGGGTTAGGGTAAGCTATGCCGATCTGAAAGATTGATTAAAATTGGGGTCTCACTTTCATGAGTAAATCAAAAAAGGTTAATCTTTTTTTTCTGTAACAAAATTAATGCAGCCACTGAGGAATTACCGTAAACCTCAGTTGGGAGCATTTTTGACCATAGATTAAATCACAATTTTGTACTTGTAAAGTCATCTGACAGCAGAAACAGAAAGCTAAATTAATATTAGCACCTGTACTGCGGAATTGCCCATCAACAAAAAAACAACAAAATACAGTGAGTAATCACGGAGAAATTCAGGAGATAGACTGTTGTTTCGTGACACTAAAAGCAAAGTGAGAGTATTTCGGTTTGACAATCAGCATTTATAAAAAGCTCCACTTTTGGTGGTGGATAAAAGGCCAAAAGGGGGAGTGTTTCCAAAGTGCTTTATTCATGTTGAAACAGTCAGAGGGGACGGTGAGTGAATGTATTCTGTGATGGTCCTCACAAGTCCAGTACAAAAGACGTGTTTGAAAGTGCAAGTTGTTGACCTCCCACTGTGAGAGAGGTTAGGGCCAGATGTTGAGGTGAATTTGGCTCTGTGTTACACGAACACACACCTGTCAATTATTCATACACTCGACACGGCACTGTGCCCCCTGCTGGGTCCTGTACATGGGTTTGGATAAAAATATCAGTATTTTTAGAGCAAAACTTTCTGACCTCGTTTAACCTCAGTAGGGCAGGAAAGTAGAGGAAATAGAGAAAAGAAGAAAAGGGAGACTTGGTACAAAGATGAGAAGAGAGAATGGGAGTATAGAAGTAGAAGTAGAAGAAGTATAGAGGCCATAAACAAGAAGCTCAGGATGTGAGGAGGATAAATGGAGTGAGGGAAAAGAAGGTGGAGAAAAAAGTTGCCAATCCCCTCCCAAACTTGACTGCACTTTACTCATAGGTAGATTAACCTGTTAGGGGATCGTAGAGGAAGAAAGTCAAACAGCAGTTGAGCCTTTGCCGTGAGATATATTTGCTGTTAACTACACATTTGTATGTGCATGATGGCTGCCTCGCGTATTCTATGTCCGTTGGACCGTTGGTTGTGCACCTCTTCAACCCATATGGCAAAATTAGTCTGGCCCGAACACTTGGTTCAAATACAACCGTGAATTATTGTCCACATATGGTCATAACCATAACCACATAACCATATCTCAGCCAACTGTATAGCTGGCCCCATTATGGCCTTATGTTGGACCAGACAAGTTTCAGCAGACTTATTTCTTTTTGGTGTGGTTTACATGTGTTCAGGCTTACTGAATTTTCTCATTCAACTCTTTGTCGACACATTACTACACAAATACAGTTGGCTGGGATATGGCTGAGATATGGCTATGTCATGGGCCATGAGTGGCTCCCAGATCTGGACCACCAGTGGACAGTAAATAATTACCCCATTACGACCCAATGGCTGTCAGTGGGCCTGTAGAGCGATTCCGTGGTTAACAGGTATATCTCTGGCATTATACAGTATACATACACCTGTAACACACATGCTATTTAATCTATAGTGATTCGGTTTGAGAACAACTTTCTACTTTTATAAATACATTTGTACCTTTTCAGCACAGAAGGAGAGGCCAAGCTGACAGCGATGGCCCAATGATCTTATTTCGCACTGCAGGAAAGTGTGTATCTCAACTTGTCTCCAAAGATATCATCAAGATGTCTGTCCCTCTCTGCGTCTTCAGGTGAGGAGTGTTTGACTCTGGCTTTGAAGGGTCGCTGTCAGAACCAGCTGAAGCGTCGGCAGGCTGGGCCAGAGAGGCTTATTGGTAACGGACACAGTCGGCTGGCAGGTGGGGCGCTGCGTGGTGGGACCATTACCACCAGCAGTGGTAGCCGTATTGTGGAGCGGGCCGCTGGGGGGCTCTGTGAAGTCCACTTTCTTCCACTGGTGGTTGGAGTTGGAGACAGCAACCGAACGCAGAGACTCAGATGTGTTGGTAGGTCTTAAATCAGCCCTTTTATCAGGGTTCCGCTGGTCTAAACAGAATCCTACCATCTCCTTCTACCTAACAAAAGTGGTCCTAACCCCTAACCCCTAAGCTAGACTAAACACATCCTTAGTCTTGACTGAACCCACAGATTAAGATGATAGCAGTCGTTTCATCTAACTACAGTTAAAAGAGCAAACTTTGATTTATGAAAAATGGAGCATCCTTGAACACACAAAAAGAAGGTTTTAACAAGACTAAGAGTCCACGGCCATTCTAGCAGCTCTATGAGGTTGCACTTCGCCACAGCAATGCTTTTAGGTAGAGGCTAATGTCATAATGCTGATATGCACACAATGCCAGGGCTAACATGCTAATGTTTTCTAAGTATAAGCTTTACCATGTTTATGGGATACTAACATTTCATAATGAGTACAGTACAGTACAGCTGTGGCTGATGGGAATGGAATTAGTTTTTTTGGTCAATAAAATCAAAATATTGGACAGATCATCACATTTTGACCTCAAGATGGCACTGAAATTGTTGAATATAAAGGGTGATATAAATTACAAATAACTTTTTTATAAAGTTTTACAATAACTGTGGAGATATTTCACTCACAACCTGAAATTTGTATTACATTTTAGATGTAAAGAAAAGAAGAAGAAAAATATGATGATGTCAAATGAAGGTTGTTAAACTCCACCTGAGTTTTATAGGTGGAGGGGCTTTCTGTTGCATTAGGAGGCTTTCTGAGTAAAATGCGAAATTATTCTCATGTTATGCCAAGACCACCCACACCTGCAGCCTCTGCCAGCAACCTGGGCCTCGTGAGAACAACTGCTGGGAAATTGCTATCATGCTGTTATGGCAAACATAGACAATCCTTGGGATAAAACCGCAAACCCACCTCTGGCATGCTACAAACATATGGAGATAAAGTATTCCTTATTTGCTGACTGTGACCCATTTGAACTAGTATACTAGCATACCAAGTTTGACTGGACCTGATGTCAGGCTCTGCTTTATTTAGAAGTTGTTTTCAAGAGAAGCACCTGTGCATTTTCCAGGATGCTGATACTTTTTTCCTCCAACAGACCATGCAGAGTTTGCAAAGTGCCCTCAGCCACTGCCAATGGGCTCTCCCAGTTTGCCAGTCTCAAGCTGTGAGCTAAATAAAAACACCAGACGCTGTCACCAGCAGCCGTTGGCCACTCATCTCTCCTGCCGACTCTACCAGACCTGTGACCACGCTGTGCTCATCTCAGGTAGGACGGTTTGTGTGTTTTTTCATATTTGCATTGTTCTCACTATCACCAAATGATTAAAACTGATCAACACAAGGGACTATGACTGAAGGTAACATGACCTCAGGTTCTGTGAGGTTTATCAAGGGATGTTTTGATGTCTAGAGTTTGGATTTATTGTTAATTTAAGTGGAATGGCAAGCACCTGACAGCTTGAGCTACCTGACAATCTAGACAAACATGCCCCCAACACATATAGTGCTTCCATTTAATGTAACTAAGCCTTAATGATTATATAAATGAAATTTGTTCGCCACTAGATGTTGCACTAGAGCATCAGCATCTACAACAATGGGCGCTATTGCTGACCTGACTCCACTGACAAAACCACTTATTTGACCTAACAGATAATCGTAAACTCACCAAAACTGTCTGTGTTAGTCTTTCCACTGTCTTTCCAACAATCCTCCAATGCTGGTTTAGTCAAAATAAACCAAGTTAGGCGTAAAATTATTCATGGGAAGGCCTTCAATTAACCCAGCAACGTAAAAAATAATCCTTGGGGTCAAATTAACCTGCCAAAATAGGTCCACTAAAATTGCTTGTTTTTGCCACTGACAGCTTCAGATTGAAGTGTTAGAAGTGTCTGAAAACATTAAGCAATGGCTCCCTACAGAGATAGACCCTTTGTTTAACCAGAAATAGACATAATATCGCTGGCCACCAGACTCCATAGACAAAACGGTAATTTTACCTCACATATCATTGTAACATAATGACTTCATTCAAAGTGGACAGAAACAAAATAAAACTCACCAAAACCGTCTTTGTTAGTCTTTCCACTTACCAACAATCACCAACTCTGGTTTAGTCAAAATAAATCCTTAATTTATTGATTATAGATAAGAAAAACAGCAGTTCCAGTTCTCTGCTCAGCTGCACACGGAGCAGACCAGCTATGTAAACAAACCACAGAGAAGCTGCGATAGCAACACAGCCAAAGGTCAGGTCATTCTCTACTCAGGACACCATGACTCCACTATATCTTTACATAGCAATTATTTATGCTGCAATATTAATGTTCTAAATCTCATATATATAATCTTTAAAGTGCAGATCATTGGATCAAATTAGCAACCTTGGGACAGTTGCTTTTGGCTAGTACAAGCCTTTAACACCACCCACATGTTTGAACACAATCTTCGCATTATTACAATAAAAAAATCACTGAAAGTTAGGACTCAGCAACCAGAAACTAACTGCACTTGTTGCCTAGCTAATGTTACCATAGAAAGTCATGGCCACATTAGTTAAAGCTTAGAGCTAGAGAGACAAGGTTCTCTGGTGCTACTGTGACTACTGTGTTTGACTAGCAGAAACACTACTACTCTTGCAGTTAATCAACATCAAACTGCTAAAGGGTGCTGTGCTGTGTTCATGGTTGTGTGTATGTATGCTCTAGGTGGCTGGCAGCAGCAGATGACGTTCCAGCGCCACGTTCAGAATCTTCAGAAGTTTTACAGAATGCTGCAGAACAACGGCTTCCACAAAGATCACATCAAGACCTTCTTCGCCAGCAGTGGACAGCTTCCTGGTAGGATGGTGTTGCTCTACTCCATGTAGATCCAATGTTTCTTTGTTTTGTTTCACTGACCAAATATAAGTCCTACAGCTGCACTTAAAACCCATGCTGCTTTCTGAGTCAAAACACATTAACACATTAATCCTGTCTAAACCCAGCTCAGGGGTTGCGGAAAGTAATGTCTAATGTCTAACTCCTCTTTTTGTCTCCCCTCCCCCCAAAGAAGATGTAGAGGGTGTGTACTCGGCGACGGAGAAAGCGGTGATTCGTAACCACGTGTCGTACGTCTGCAGGAAGCAGCACTGCGCCGACACGCTGGTTCTCTACCTGAATTCGCCAACGCGCAACGACGGCACCATGCTGCTGTGGGACGCCAACCTCAATGGCATTGTAAGAGATACACATACATACACATAGTGATCAGGCACTGATTTGATTGAGTGTGCAAGAAAGAAAGGAATCAGTGTGTGTCAGTAGGAACGTTTCCATCCAAATGTAGAGCACATTTTGTCTGAATTTCCACAAAATCAGCAAAATAAAATGTAAATAAATGTGTGTTTCCATCCACTACCATTATGAGAATATCAGGAGTTTGTTGACCTTAGCCAAGCATAAAAACAGGTGGATGTAAACAAATGTAATGACATCTACAGTACATAGGTGTATGTTTCTTAGTAGTGCATCGTTACTACCACTCTTATTACAACTATACAAGTTGCACACCTATTTTACCCTATACTGACTTTATACAGACCAATAACATTGGAAAGTCTAGAAGAACTGCACAATTAAATCATTTTAGCAGCGTTAAAGGTCGCTGGAGGGCTAAACTGGAAGTTAGTGCTGGCATAAGTCTCTAGAGCGCTTGGACCCCACAATGCGGAAGCATATGCAGAAGATCTGGATAATTTTATACTTTGAAATTGAACTTTTTTGGCTTCCTGCGCCACTAAGCAGCTTCTATAAGAATGAACAAAGCGCCGCCTCCAACGCTGTATCCAGTTCTCCCTTAAAGGTCCACTGTGTGTAAATTCAGGAGGATCTATTGGCAGAAATACTTGTTTAATACTGACGCCAGTAGTGTTCAGTTAGGTGTAATCTGAAACTTCCCCGCTAGATGCCACTAAATCCTACACACTGTTCCTTTAATACATCTACGGTATATACAGAGAATATCATGCAGCATAGCACATACATAGATACACACACATACACACTTTAAAGTGAAACTCTCTGGTGTCTTTAAAGCAGATCACCAACACAGAATGGAAAATGATTTATCGGACACACATGGGAGCCATTATCAGCCTGATAAGAAGATTCCTCTGACCACACACACATGCACAAGGACCACCCTGACTAGAGTATTTCTGTCGTCACATTTAGGTTTCTCAAAATGAGGATATGAGCTCATCTGGTTGAAGGCACTTTACAGAGAAATGTTTAACATCAATCAACCGGTCAGACTGGGTCCAGACTGTACACACATCCTGGTAAACAGGATTTAGAATTTTATGTTTTTAATTCTGTTAATGTGTTATATCAGAGAGCACACAGCATCTGGTGATGTGATGCGAGAAATCATTTGAAACACAGTGGATTAGGGATTAATATTTTCCCAAAAATGAGACATTTTCTATCCCGGGAACAGAAGCACACTATCCCAGCAATCCCGGGAACTGCACTTGTTTTGGTTGAACTTCAGCGGCAGTAAAAATGCATTGCTACTATTTCAAGCAACACTAAAAGCAACGAGGAGAAATATTCATAAACCTATGGGTTCCCAACCTGACTGCTTTAGTGTATTACTTGGTAAATAACACTTATCCCACTGTATTTACCAATATGTGCTACCAAACCCTGACTACTAAAACATTACTCTGTCTCCCCATCCAGGCTGACCTGAAGGAGCGATACTCGGTCAACGAGCTGCTGGCCGACCTGGCTGGCTGCAAAGCAACTCGTGTTTTGCTGTTTGTGGATCAGAGCTACAGTGGCGTTCTGTCCAAGAGGCTGCGAGGCTCCCAGAAACACCTCAACGTGGTTCTGATCCAGAGCCATACACGGCAGACTCACAACCACCAGAGGCTGAACCCGGGCTGGGAGGACAGCAGCTGGTCCTACATCAGCGCCGCTACCTGCCTGCTGGACCACCTGGGAAAGGTACCTTATCACCTTTAAGCCTTTTCCCCTCGATTTTACCCGTCTAAACAATCTATAATCTCCTCTTCTATGATGATGTCATTAGGGTGCTGGGATGTCTCGCCTCCTGGAGCCGTGGGCCGGCCTTTTAAACGTGACGTTGGCAGGCGCCCCCTGCAATGCCACGCCGCCTCTGACGGATGGCGAGATGCGGCGAGAGTACCAAGGCTGCCAGAACCTGCCGACCGCACTCTGGCACCAGAAACACAGGAGGACCAACTGAGAGAAAGACACTGAGACTGACTGAGGGAGAGAGAGAGAGAGAGAGAGAGAGAGAGAGAGAGAGAGAGAGAATGAGTGGGAAACAAATTAATTATGGACACACACACAGACCGTACACAAATGTTTGCATCACACACACACATATTTGCTGGTGTGTGTTAGCTTAGGAATTTAGTTTCAGTGTGCTTTGTGGACACTGGTGTGTGTGTGTGTGTGTGTGTTTTTTCTGTCCTAACTCAGACAGTAACCATGGCGATGACAGCTCATCCCAACGGGAGTGTCCTGAACACCATGTGAACTGTGTGTGTGTGTGTGTGTGTGTGTGTGTGTGTGTGTGTGTGTGTGTGTGTGTGTGTTTGTGAGTTCAGCAAGAGGACAACCACTCTCGGAGACCATTGCTAGCTTACGCTGGGGTCAGTGTGTGTGTGTGTGTGTGTGTGTGTGTGTGCGTGTGTGTACGCCACATCTCCTGGGCACTGAAACATCTCAGAGCCAATCATCTATCTCTATTTTTATCTTTACAACAGTTATTTCGTCTCCCTTCTTGTCTTTCTGTCTTTATTCTGTCCTTTGCTTCACCTTTTGTCAGCTACTCTCCTCCCACCTTACCCCTCTTGATCTCTTTCTTTAATTTCTTCCCGTGTTTCTTTTGCTGGCATTCGATTGCTTACTCAACTTCTGTCTCCGTCCATAATTTTTTTGGCTGTCAGGTTTCTATTTTCCTTGTTCCGACAGTGTTTGAAAAAGTTGAATACTGTAATAATTTAGTCACAACACATCAGACCTGACAAACCCTTAAAACACGAGGTGAAGTTACGTGTGTTTAAAATATGCGCACAAGAGAACTTAAATGGTGTACTCACACACAAAAATCCTAACTCAAGGTCCACTTGTTAGCGTTTACATGGATCTCACAGTTAAACGCTCCTGAATTTATTTATTTTTTGTCAATCGTGTGTTTCTGCGGTCAAAAATAAACTTTCAGCTTCAGTATTGACAATGGTTTTGGTCTCTTGACCCAAACTGCTACTTTATCTTCTCAAATCAGTCAGATGTCTGTTCAGTACATCCATATTTCTAAAAGAAATTCCCAGAGTCAGCATTTGGGTCTTCCATATTGTGTGTTATTATAGTTTAGACCTCTCTTAAAAAAAACCCAAACAGCCTGTTTCATGACTATTTACTACCATTTGTTCATGGCCTTATAATAAGCTATTTTTTCTACAGACACCATGTGTTGCCTTGCCTGGAGTCTGCCATGTTGAACCGCCATGTTTCTACAGTAGTCCAGAGCTGTCAAACCAAATGCTGGCTGTAGATACGGCCTTTCGAATTTTTACGCTGCCACCGTAGTTTCTTCTACACAGCCTGTACTCATTTCCATGTCATCAAATACAGACACCGCTAGATGCCACTACATCCTGTATATTGGTTCTTTAAGTCCTCAAAATAAAAATACAACAAATGGGTTGTGTAGAAGGCTCTGACAAACAACCTAAACGTTCTTAAAGTGACATTATGAGCATGTCCAGCCTGTTCTCATTCCCAGGGCAGCGAATACTAATATTATGTCACTACGTCTCCATACAGATGCACAATCCTTTAGTGTCTGTATGAGACGCACCAGGCTTTAATCTAACTCTAACCCATTTGCGTCAGAGTAGTATGAAGAGCAACGAAAGGAAGTGGTCGGAAGTTGCATCACATGCTTTTTTTACACTCAAAACATGACTATTTCCCTAAACTTAACCAAGTGGTTGGTGTTGCCTAATCGACCATTTCACATTAACCACATGTTAAAAAGGTGTCTCATACAGACACTTCCAAATTGTAATCCAGTGTGTAGGATTTAGTGGCAGCCAATGGCGTAGTTGCAGATCACAACTCTATTGCTTCACCCTCTCATTCCAACGCATGAATAATGAGAACACTCCTTTATATAGCCGGTGTTTGGTTTGTCCCTTCTGGGCTACTGTAGAATCATTGTGGTTCAACATGGTGGGCTCTATGAAAGGCGGCCCACGGTGACTATAGATAAAAAGGCTCATTCTAAGGTAACAAAAACACAACGATTATTATTTTCAAGTTATAATACACAATTGAAAACATACCTATGAATGTTATATTCCATTTCTGCCAATAGATCCTCCTAAATGTTACACACTGGACCTTTAACCTGGTTATCTAAACCACATTTTTGGTAGTGAACATAAAGGTGAAAAGTTGATGTTGTGGTTTCTATTCTAAGAGTCATACTGTAATGACCGACAGGTATGGCCAGACCTCCAGTAAAATCCAGCTTGTAAAAATAAAAGATTTGTACATTTATGCAGAGTGGAGTCTGAAGTCAGGAAATGTATTTTTAAGATTTAGAGACGGAGGACGTTTCAGGCTTTTGAACCTGAGGAGGAGGGAAAGAGAGAGCCAGAATTTGCTCGGCAGTGATCATGATTAAGATATGAAGCACTGAGACTGCCCTCACTGCTACACAGACTGGCTATGGCATTTTAATAAGGGCACAACTTGCAAGTGTCTGTGTGTGTGTGTCAGTCACATAGACAAAAGCATCACATGAAACATGCACATGTTCTAATATTAACCATCCCCATGCTAACAATGTACATGTTGTCCACTACTGTTGTTGGTAATTTGTGATATCTGTCTGTACGTTACCTCCTGTCCTTTCTTACTGTGAGTAACCACATATACCACAGCCCAGTGTACATCTCGCTGTTTGTACTTTTGTCTGTTGTACTGTGTTTTGCATTAGAGATTTGTTTATTCAAGAGATGGGAGTTGATTGGAAGAACAGCTTTCCAAATGCGTGGGACATTGTGGATCAGAAATGTGTCCAACAGTGTGACATGTGCATATCCTCAGTTTGTGTAATCATCTGTACAGCGTGTGAGATGTAATTTAGCAGAAATGTTTATAGTTGCATGCAGCAAATCACAAAATCTAGTCAATAAAGTACTTTTAGAAACCAATGAAGTACATGAGATTTATTTGTCTGGCTTCCAACCATTGACAGTATACAATGGACAGAGCTTCTGGGTCTGAAAAGTAAAGCCAATGCAGAAGTGTCTTAAACCTGCATTTTATGTAATGGCCAGCAGGGGGCAGCTCCATGGGCCTCACTAACACACTAATACCATAAAGTCTTACCCAAATTATGACTTGATTTATTAGCTCAGTAAACAGTTTCCTAATGAGTTTATGGTCGCTAGTTTAAAGTCTTCTTCCATAGAGCATGATGTTAATTTACTAAATCTTGGTCCAGTTTAGAGTACATTTTTTAAAAAGCAGAGTATGTTTTTGGGCGTGGCTACCTTGTGATTGAAGTCATTCTCAGTGAGTCAGTCACTAAACTCAGATCAAACTGTCAAACGAGGCAGTGCTGAAGATAATTTGAATCAAGATCCTGTTACTGTCACACTTGCTTCGGACCCTTATGCGCTGACCATAGGTTCTAGATCCGGGGAGAACAGGGCATACAGTGGAAAAAGATAGGCAAAGCAGAATTGTAACTAAGATAAACCTGTGTACCTTTTTTTGTGTCCTGCAGCCTCTCTCACACCAGATGAAAAATGTGATTTCTGAGAAACAAAATCGACATTCAAAGTTGACATTCCTACGTTGAGGAACAGTAGGCAGATGTGACTTTAACATGGAAAAACGTTTCTCGATCTTACCTGAGAGGAATTTATAATAATTCTTTTATAATGCAAAAAAATACTGAAACAAATACATTTCTCTAAAACACAAAAAAAATTAAAACAGTCTGTAAAAATCTGTAATAAACTATCTGTAGTTGCACTATACAAGAAAAACACTGGCAGCTGTGGTTGCTAGAACTTTACTGTAATAAATACAGCACTATGGTAAATGGTCATTAGTACTGTTGATTTTAAGTTAGAGGTTTATTCCATATTCTATTTTTTGGAAATATCACATTGTTATTGCATCAGTCATTTCAGGGTTGCATTAGAGTGGCTCAGTGTAACACAAGACTATTTTGAACCATAATGAGAGACTTAGTTGTCTTCTGTTAAAGCAGATGAACCCCTGTAGATATATTTGTATTTTTGTCCTGTATATTATCAAAAGATGACTTTAACCTCTTTTACGTATAAAATAAGAAATATTGGCAAATAGCCTAATTAAAGAATGGAACCATGGATAATGTTTTTATGTTCCTTTTTGTTTCTGTCTGTCTGTGTGAAACTAATAAAAATGTTTTATTTGCATTCAATATTTCAGGTGGATCAAGCACTTAGTAGCACAAAAGACCTTTTTCACAGCAGCCATTTTTACAAGAAATACTAGGGGAAACACAGGTGTTACTAAGGAATGTAATTAGGTTCCATTCCATTTAGTGTAGCAGAGCCTTTTCAGTGAGCCAAAATGCACAATTGCAACACCCTGACTCTATTTAACCTGAATGAAAAGGAATCTGGATTAGTATCATTGGTAAGGCGTGTTTATCCTACTTTTTCATGTCAAAATGGCTGCTGTGAAAAAGGTCTATTGCCAGTTTAATAGACACACCTACTGTAGCTATGAATGCCATCTGTGACAAAAGCTTTAAATGAAGACCCAGGAAGCAGTTTCCACTTCTGGGTTTTACTGACTACGTTCACAATGCAAACCTTACTGCTCAGTTCTTTATTGTTTTTGTAATTATCTGATCTGTTTTGTTTGGTTGTTCACATTATTCATGTTTTTCATGAGTCTTCATGTTTTTCATGAGTCTTCATGTTTTTCTAAGTGGGTGATGCCAGGGAGAACCACCTGACTTTCCCTATTATTATGTGTATTACTATAAAATATAATTTATAATAATATATAACATATTGAAATCTTAGCTATAATATAATATAAATAAAGCTTTTGCCATGAGATATCACAATGTTTTACTGTTACAGAAACTTTCACATATTTAGAGTTTACGGTCTTTTACTGTCATGGTTTGACAGTTTTTCACTGTAAATGAAAAGGAATAAATAGCAGAAAATAACTTAGACACAAACACTACCAACTAAAAAGTAAAGAAAAACAAAAGCTAAAAAGGAAAAATGCAAGAAAAAAAGGTTCTGATGTAGTGCGTTTAAAAGTTAGATGTCAATTACCAGAGAAAAGGACACAGTTGTTGTTTCAGAGGCTTTTATTGCTAATGAGACACAGTTCAGCTGAAACACACTCTCCATCTGTCTTCCTGTCTCTGGCCCTCAGGCTGCTGATATAGTTTTACTCCAAACAGCAACCTTTGACACTGGCATTTCCAGCCCATCCAGGATGTTTTTACCAAAACAATCTGGGTAACATAATCGCCTCAGCTTTTAATGACTCGGGTGGAATCCCCATTGTTTATTGCTACCACGGCCGACTAATGTTCAGTTTAAGATGTTTTTCTACAACTGTACCTTTGTGCAATGAGTCTGTTTTGAAAATTTAAGGAGTAAAAAGTCCAGATATTTGTGTAAAAATGTAGGGATAAAAGTAAAAATAAAGAAAAAATAAATAAATGCTCAAGTATAGACACTACTACTAAAAAACTACTGAAGTACAACTCTGTAGAAAGACACGGGACTTTGACCCAGGAGACTGGAGTTTGTGTCCCATGTGAAACCAAAAGTAAACATCAACTTATGTTAAGTTTTAAGTTACATAAGTTCTTAAGTTATCCTGTGATTCTTAACTGTAATGTGTAGTGTGCCAAACCACAATCTTTTCCTAAATCTAAACCATTTCACAACTTTGTGGCAGCCCGGCGTGTTTCTAAAAGGTATTGGGTGTGTCTGTATGAGAAGCAGAGGGGATGTGACAAAGCATCAGTATTTGAAGACCTGAGCTGAGAACCACTCAGCGGTTAAGGTTTGGTGACTAAAACCTCCTTGGAAAGATGGTGACCACGATAAACACTGAATATGAAACATGCAGTAATTCTCAGGAGACAGCTGTCAGTGAGTCATTAACAACAATGGAGAAAAGTTATGTTATTGTTGTTGGTTTCAGTTTCTCCAAACTTCCACCATAGGTGCAGATACATGAGATTACAATACATCAGATATGACAAAAAATTTAATGTGGTCAGCATTGAAACAAAAAAGGTTCATGCTCAGTTCAGTGTCAAGTGTCTTGAGTCTGATTGTTCATCTGAGTTTCTGTTTGTGAGTCGAGACTTTTCTGCTGTTTCATCCACATGGCTGCGTACAGACCTCCCTGGACCAGCAGCTCCTCGTGTCTGAACACAGCGGGTCATGACAGGGACAAAATGGACAGAATGGGGTGAGACAAGAAAGAAACTACCAAAATGACCAAAGGTACATCTTCAAAACAAGGGTCAGGAACTCTACTGTGCCTGTCTGATTCTGCTATTGAGGCATTCATGTCCTTTTCAGTTTGCTCTATCTCCACATACACAGAATGTGCTGTTTCCTTCTGCTACTCAGAAGCGGATCTAGAGGGGTGGCATAGTAAATGTCTGGACACCCCAGCTGCCACCCCCGTTTGGTGTCAAATGTTGTCAAATTTAACACATTGATTTAGATTAATTTTAAAAATAAAAATGGAAAATGATTGAATGTTGTTATGGCCATATTTACTGAGCGATGGACTGGAAACAATTTATTGATTTCTAAAAATGTATTGATTTCTAAAGCCACCTTTAGACATTTCTATTCAAGGCTTTACTAATGTGCCACAATAATGTAGTTTTTTAATTCAAATATCTTCATTTGGGGGCCTTTCAAAGCAAATATTAATCAAGTATATATTTCTGCCACGCCTTAAAGTCTCCATGTCACCCCCTGGCCCAAAAAAAACAAACAGAAAAGAACAAGAACAAAAACTCTGACCCCAATATGCTGCTCCAGTGTGCCACCCCAAGATTTTCAGTGAGCACCGTGAGAGGCAGCTGGATTTCAGTCCCAGATTTCAAAGGCACAAATTGAAAATGTGGATAAAAACACTTGAGAGGAAGGTCCAAGAAGTCACTCGGGAGGGCTCAGAGAGTACTGACCTGCAGCTTCCCTAAACTTTAGTGTTTATCATTTGTCTTCCAGATTCAGTTTTAAAAATAAAATAGTATGTGGCAGCAAAGGACCCAACTCAGATATCCAGAATGTGCAAACGTTTCCTACAAGCTCTTGAACGCAAATACAAACAATAATAAAAGGGAGCGAAAGAGGACAACCCTGTCTCGAAAATACAGTCTGTTTCAAATTCACTGTCCCAACATTTCATTTATTTTCTTCCTATATCTGTCTAATATCCACTGTTATTGTGGGAAATAAAAAGATAAAAGAAATTGACTTTTTCTTAAGGCATAAAAATAAAAGGAAAAGAAGAGCAGGCAGAGGAGAAGGTGGGTCACTCATAATGTCTTGTGACACCAGAGCTGCTCTAAGAACAAAGTTGAGCTGTCTAAAATCCTCATGCAGACTTTAGCCAACTTTACTATGAATTAATAAAACCACAAGTCTGTTACTGTCTGGACTGCCAGACGGGAGGAGAGAGAGCGAAAGACAGCGCGGGTCAGAAATAGAGGATACAGAGAAACTGAACGAGATAGAGAGAGAACGAGTGAGAACAGGTTGAAGCAGAGGAAACCTGAAGACAAGGTGAAATGCGGAGAAAGAATAGAAGAAAAGGAGGGGGGATGAAGAGAAAGAGAGAGAGTGGAAGACAAGGTAAAGAATGAAAACAGATGTATTGTTGCATTCCCATGACACTGTCAGACTCAAATTCAAACTGATACAGCAAAATAAGAGCTGTTGTCTATTTTTTTCCACGCATTCTTCTTCCTTGTCAAAACCTGGTGCCTACATTGCCCACAATGCAACTTGACGCACAGCAGTTGAGTTGGAGATTCATTGGAGATCAGTGGCTAATGAATTGTATTCATGTATTGGATGCATGTTTTGCCCCGTCTTGTCAACCTCGTCTCAAGTCACCCAATGCATTATATCATCTCTGTCATTTCACTAAATAAATAGAAAAATGCATTTCGCAAAAGGCTTTATCCAACACACATGCAGTAGTACTGATGTGTAAAATTGGCGGGATCCAAATTCAAAAGGTTGAATTATGTATCATCCCACTGGGTCCACACTGTGGTGCTGGTTGACCCGCACACCTCCACAATTACATAATTGCAGCTGGCGTGTGGACCCAATGTGTGCCTCTCCTGTACAATGGCAACACACAGCCACTGTAAACATTTTAACAAAGAAAGGCCTAGCCAGCACGCATACATTTGAAAAAAATAAAAATTGTCTCCATTTTGTCTTTCTGTCCACAGTAATATGTGTTTTTTTTCTCACACACAAAATATTATCTTGAGAGTTACTGTTTGGTGGGTTAACAGAATATATTTATGAACCACAGTCAACTCACTGTTTTTAGCTCACAGACACAGACACACATATGTAAACAAATAAATCAGCCATTCAGGGGGAGACAGAACCCAAGTTTGAGACTGAGACTCAGCAGAGTAACTGGGCTGTGTCTATCCCGCTGCTGAAACAGATGCTGGCTGAAAGACGATAGCAAAGGAGATAAGATTGTTAGTGTGGATGAAGATCTTCACAAAACCCACCTAAAGAAGTTTGTACGCATGTTGCATTCGAGTGTAAACAGCTTTTTCAGAATTAGCCGTCTTAGAGTGGACGTAGTCTTCGTAAAGAATGTTAAGCGCGGGGACTGCCTGAGGACGGGATGAGGCCTCTTCCTGTCTCTGTTTCATGATACACTCCCACACTCTGTGGCAGAACTTGTATTCTGACACCGGAGGTTAAATGGGCCGGTCCTATGTTTACATCACAGTGTCTATCAAAAGATGAATGGTTTCTGGTTGGTGTTCCCCACACATGCCTGCAGGGACAATTCAAGTCCGTCCACTACAGCCCTGCATGTCTCTCAGGTGACCTCTAATCAACACCTCAATATTATTATGAGCAGTACATTCAGCTAGAGGATCTACATTTATCAGAATTTAATCATTAAAGTGAAATGTATCTCTTCTTTTGCCTCTTGCTTGCCACTGCATGTGTGTGTGTTGAAGTGACCTCAGTGTGTGACAAAGGAAGTCTTCATACCCAGCTCCTATATCAAAGGACTGTACGCATCGGTAGTTAAGTGGCAGCTCCACTCTTTGTGTGTGTGTGTGTGTGTGTGTGTGTGTGGTGTTGTCCATCAGCCTCTGGGGCTGAGAAAGATACCAGCAGGATTAGGGTTCACACAAACACACTCTGAGGTTTTGATCTACAGATAACAAATTGGCAAGCACTTAGGACACACACAATCATTCAGGTCACACAATCACACACACACATCAGTGGCTGCTGAGCTACTCGAATTCTACTTCACGTATGCGCAACGCTGGAAAGACAACCTCACCTTCCTCTCTCTGCTATCTGTCCATTGTGGACCACCAGGATCTGGTCTGCTCCGATGATGGTGGACAACCTGCAACATCATACAGATATTATTCAGACTTAAAGTAAATGCAAAAGCATAATAACATTTAATAGTTTTAAGACATAGAATACCAGTCAAATTCTTTTGAATTCACCATATAATCTATAAACAGGCTCTATTCCCAGGTAGAACATTTAAGCCTAAACTGCATTACCAGTGTCCAAGAGTTGGTTTTAGTTTGTCTAGTTCCAAAAATTTTGGAGAATGACCTGTCAATCACAAGGTAGCCACACCCAAAAGCAAACCCTGCTTTATGGTCTAATTTACTCTAAACTGCTTACTGAGCTCATACATCATGTGAGAAGTCGGATCATTTATCCATAAGACTGCATGGTATCTGTGTTTTATTACAGCCCATGGACACTTCCAAGTCGGCTTCAATTCACATACCGGAAAGCTCTGTCCATTACGTATACTGTCAATCGTTTAACCTGAGTCAGGCCATACAACAATAATAGCAATTATACTTGTGTACACTTCATTTCAAACCCTGAACACAACCTGCCTTTATTTGGGACAGACCTCTATATGGGACATGCCCTTTAATTCATTTTGCACAAAACTCCTGCTTAGCAAAGATGGAAAATACTATCAGATTGTTTCTTTAAACCAGTATTACTATGAATATTAGGAATATAAAATTAGGCTACCGAATATCAATTATGAATCATTCATTTGATCATTTGATACTTTGGTGCTACGTAAAAATTAACTGAAGGACTGAATTGTGGAGAATCTAACTGATCTAACGAAGTGCAGCATGTCCATACTGACAAAAGTTAACATGGTGGACTTTAAGAGGGTTTATACATCCAAATAACTTCTATAAAATCCAGACCAGGCTTCTAATGGAGACTTGCATTTATTTGTCAAAACGTGTAGCCACACCAGGTTAGTAAATGGAATCTGCTTTTAATTGGGAATTTGAATACTCCGTATTAGCCGATACGCAAAGTTCAGGTATCGGCAAGAAAAACAGTATCAGAGCATCTCTGCTTAAATGCAACAGTAGCAAGTAACTCACTATCACTATCCTCATTCATATTTTGAGGCGCTATAAACGTACATACAGAGAGTCGTTGAAATGTAGATGATGCACCTTTGCGTCTAGTCGCATTGGTGTATATTGACAGGATTGCAGTTTTTCCTTGCCACTGTCACCAAGTGCTTGCTGTAGGTAAATAATCTTGAAAAGGAGTACAGTCTAGACCTGCTCTACATGAAAAGTGTCCTGAGATAACCTCTTTTATGATTTCCGGCTGTATCAATAAAATTTAATTGAACTGAATTGAAGACCAATCAGCGTTTTCACAACGACTGAGAATGGAACGACTGAGAATGGAAGGGAGGAGGGAGGCAGATAGTTATAGAGATATAATAATTCCAGTGGTGCCAGAGGTTGGAAAGAGGCAGATAAGACAAGGAAATGGAAATATATACGTATACCATAGAAAAAGAGAGTAGGAGGGAGCCATAATGTGCAGTTGGATGTTAAATATGTTCAGCTGCCTCATAAAAGTAAAATACACACAGTCATTCCTCAGTAATCACTAACAGAAACACACAAACACACTCACTCAACTTCAGCTCTGTCATTTCTGTCATACACGTGTAACAAACTGACACACACACAGACACACAGCTGAGCATGTCGCTCTGGGTTGCAGAACTCTGTATGAACTTGTCTGTAAATTATTAAAGTTAATATTTATGACCAGTCTCTGATGAGAGTCTGATTAAAGCCACACTCTGGGATCTAAATGGCTCTCAGCTCCAGACTCAACTTTGTGATGTGACCCAGTGGGGTGCTGGAAGATGCACAGATGAAAGCTATCCACGGCTGCATAATTTTCAGTGTTTTTCTTCCAAAAAATGAACATTTGTGAGATAAATGGTTGAATCTGGAAATAGGTTTTTGAAGAATGATCCCCAGGGGAAATCAGGCCCTTGTGCATAATGCTGTACACAGAACAAACAGACTGCTTCTGCAGACCGTAGAGCTCATGCCTCTCCAAACTGCTGAGTGTCACTTTAAGCTTCAGCAGAGCAACCACTCTACTTTAATGTCACCAAGGCTATCTTTGGACGTCCACCTTCAATATTTGATAGAAACCCTCGGTCAAAGGTAGAAATATCTCTCCCCAGAGACTGCAGACGTCAGCTGTGTTTTTCTCCACTCATTCAGGCTTTACATCAGGAAGAAAACACCCAGTGTGTTTACATGCAGGCAGTATATATTTCATATGCTGTCTTCAAGATTAGGTTCAGGGTAGACTTTGTACTGCATTGTCTTCTCTTCGGGTGGGATGCAGTGAAGGCCTAGAAACAACTCATGTTTCTAGGCCAGATGCAATTTCGTTGACGAAGACTATGATGAAAAATATTCATCAACAAACCTTTTTCACGGACGAAAACTAAATGAAAACTAGGGATGCTCGATATTGGCTTTTCTGCCGATATCCGATATTCCGATATTGTCCAACTCTCAATTTCAGATACCGATATCACCCGATACCGATATATGCAGGCTTTTTACACCAAAACTGTTAAAGTAACAACATAACATATCTCCTATTGTGGAATTAACACATTATGCCTAATTTTATTGTGATGCCCCACTGGATGCATACATAAATGCAACATGGCTTTCCAAATGTAAACGCGCTAGCTTTGGTTAATGTGTTTAATTGTATTATTCACCTGAAGGAGTGCTAATGTAAAGTCTAAGTAAATTGTTAGTTTGCTCAAGGAACAGCTCATAGCAGGGTCAAATATTTAAGGTGCATTGCACTTATTTTGTGTTAATATTAAAATCATTCAGCTTTAAATTGTTTGCTTGTTAGCCACGGTTAGCAACCGACCAGTCTAGCATGTAGTTGTTGTTGTTATACGTCATCTAGTGTGTGCCGGTAAACGTCCCATGCCGTATTCATGCAGGCTCGGAAATGCTGAAGCCTACAGAACAAACATCGGTATAAAAACCTGATACCGATAATTCACGATATTATCGAACATCCCTAATAAAAACTAAATAAAAAGTCAGATATGATGACGAAGAATGTGACGAAATATAACGAATAAAAATGAGACGAAAATGTTAGGGAGGGACGAATGGAGAAGAGATCCAATCAGAACTACTCTTCTTGTGGGACAAGTTGGGAAGAGATCCAATCAGAGCGAATCTTTGAGGGTAGGTTGATCTATGCAGAAGCAGCAGAGCCATTTTAAAAAGCCGCGGCAAATGCAGGCGCAAGAGCTAAACAAACGCAGCAGCAGTTACACAGGAGGAGAACAAAGACGAGTTTGCAGAACTACGCACAGTTTCGAGGACGTTGTCACAACAGTTAGGTTGTTTACATTATATTTAGTTGTGTTTAGTTGCACAGTCTTAGTTACACAGCTTTGGCCGATTTCAGTTGACTTCGCTCGTTAGCAACACGCTAACGTTTTGCAGTGCACCCGGTCCGAGGGCAATGGCATGTCTCATGAACAACAGAAATGTCAGAGCTAGGTCTAGGATGAAAACGAATAATTGACATCTGGTCACACTTCACATATGACAACAAGGACAACAAGAGCGTCTGTAAACCATGTGGAGCAAAAATCGCTGGGAAAAACACAACCAACTTGAAGTGACATTTACAGACGACTCATCCAGAAATAAATGCGAAGGTAAGCATATACACTAAGGTTATTTTAACAGATAAACCACAGTGATTTAGTCGACTAAAATCTGCTGATATTTGGTCTACTAAAACTAGACTAAGACTAAAACTCTTATGATATTTAGTCGACTAAAACTAGACTAAGACTAAAAGATTTCAGATGACTAAAATATGACTAAAACTAAATGGTGTGTTATTCAAAAGACTAAGACTAAATCAGAATTTGCTGTCAAAATTAACACTGGCCAGATGTAAATGTTTATGACACAAATTCATAATTTGCATAATACAAAGTAATAATAAATAAATGACCCATTATATTATTTTTTCCTTCATTACCAGAAATGTTAATTTTATGGTTTTAGTGCAGCTTGAACAAATAAAGGTTGACACCCTGTTTTAATGAGTTAGGACAAGGCACTTTAATCTGCCCTCACAGGAAAAACAAAGGTGTTACACTAATAGGGTCAGTGTACTGTGCGGCCAATGGATATTTGTTTTGAAATAACAAAACCAAAATTGGGAAACAAGCCTTTTTCCATTTTTTGTTTAGAAAATAATAAACGGAAAACAGACGATCCATTTTCCAGCTCACTCAACCACTTAGAACACCACCATTGTTTATTAGTAACTTACACCTGTGCTTTGCTTTGAAGAGGGTCTAAACCAGGGGTTCTCAAACGTAGGTCTGAATCTGATTTTTAATTTAAGGACACAAGTCTGAACAACTGCTAACATTTAATAACATACATTTACAACAAACTACATTTACACTAGTTTTGTTCTTGATCTGCAATTTAGGAGCTGACAGCAAATTCTCCAGTAATAATCAGCTCGGTAGCAACAACACACATTCTCTGTCCAGCAGTTAACATTGCCATTGGCCTCTAGGATGGATGAAAAAATAAAAATATCTCTCTTGATGTAGCGTATTGTGTTCATAGCAAGGTACGGGCTGGGTCTGGATGGACTTTCCATTCAGTCCAGATGCGGAAAGAGTTCCGGACTTTGAGAAGCTCTTGTCTAAACCCAGTGACTGTGCAGTTCAAGTTCAGCTTTCATTCAAACTTTGGGTGCTTCTGTCTAAATAACTGTCCAACCTTAACTCTGTACTTATATACATATATATACTAATATTACCATTGCAAAACAATGATAAACTTCAATCTTACTTTATCCTTTTGTTGTGATATGAAGCCTTGATAGCAGTTACTTGGGTTAATCTATCCTTTAAGTCATTGCACATCACTACCACCTACATCTCAGTATAGAGTAAATAAAAAGGTGAGGTGTTCATGGCTTGGCTTTATCAGCAGATTGCTACCATGTTCAGGGGAAGGGAAAAAAATTCCCTCCATCCAATAACTGAAGTTGATTAAAGAGAGATTGTAGCTAACCCTTCAAAGTGAAATCATGATCAGTCTGTTGTGATTGTGTGTGTGTTTTCATTTTATTTAAGGCCCGAACTGATTAAGTCAATAACCAGTCCTGATCCGGATAGCAGACTCCATCTGTTGCTGCTATTGAAAGATTAAGAGGCTGGTGGATCAACTTATTCAAAGGTCAATATAGAGAGAGACACTGCAAAAAGGGGACCATACAATTAATTATTAAATTCCTAAGTAAAAAGGAAGATAATAATAAAAAAATACATTGGATGACTTATCAGACATATCTTGCATATATAGAGGATTAATCATCAAATGTATATGAATTTATGCAGTTTACTTCAAACGTCACAATTCATTAAATGTTTCTTTACTAGAACAAGGGTTAGTGTTGTTCACGAAACTCATGTTTTTGGTGAACTGAATGTTTCCATTTGCAACTAATGAATGAGAATGTGCGTGTTGATGCGGGAGATAAAGGCGCATACGCACTGTTCAGTTAAAACAATAAAAGAGAAAAATGGAATACACAAGTAAATGATGCCAGGCGGAACTTAAGTTTAACTTTCTTTCTCCAGCTGGTTCATAAAGTTAATGATGATCACAAGCAATCATAACAAGGACCACGAGCTAACAGCCGGAAGGTTCCTCAACCCTGGTCAGACTCACAGCATTTTTTAAAGCAGAGGAAATGAAGACAACTAGTACATTTGTTTTGTTCAAATTCCAAATTGTGCACTATGAACATGAACTAGTTCATTTTAATCTATGTGAACTGAACTTTGAGCTGTTGTGAAGTGTAAACTTGCTGCGAACCCGTGCACAAACTATACCACGAATGTTGAGTGGGCTCACTTTTTTTGTCGGAATCTTTATTGAAGTTAATTATATCGTACATAAATAAAAGCCTAATTCTACACATCATCTATGATGATGAAGATGCAGAAAAATATGATTATATTTAGAGACCTCCCCCTGCCCAGATATTGAGAAATATTTTTTTCAGGAGAGCTCATGTCTTATTAAGAGAAGCCAAGCTGCCCCTGGTACCCTGCTGCCAACAGTCAACACGCTAGTTTAGAAAGAGACTTGCCTCAGAGCTTTTGGTATCAGTACTAGTCACAGTCAACATCTGTAAGCAATGTTTGTGTGCATGGGTCAGAGTTTCCAAACAGGTGGCAACATTCTCCTGTCAGGTTTGGTTTTATGAATCCCACTTTTTATTTGAGTGGGGGTGCACATATCTTTTAAGGTGTGTATGCAGTGAGTGTTTGTGTCCACCTCATTGTAACAACACAAAGAGTCTACAGCGGCAGCTCCGTCGGGTTGTAGCCAGGTACAGCGGTGCTTTGAACTAAATGCTAACATGGGCATGCTAACATGCTCAAAATGACAAGATAACATGCTGATGTTTAGTTGGTTTGTTTAACATCTGACTTTAGCGTTTATGCTAACATTTGCTAATTAGCATTAATCACTGCAGCCCTACAGCTGAGGCCAAGGAGATTGTTATTATTTTCGCTGGCATTTGGTCATGAACAAAATACTAAGAAAGTAGAAATGTTTCTGGAGAATTTGGAAATCTGTCAAAAAAAAATATTGCTTCTCATGTTGCAGAAAGTACAAATACACACCTAACTTTTCACTTTTGACTAATTGAATCAATTTCTTCAGTACAATAGAAACCATGTTGAACAAGAAAAGTGAATCCATTGTCCTTATGATGCAGAACACAGAGGAAATGATAAACACTGTGTAGCCGGAATCAGCACCACAGGCTACTTCACTCCTGATGTCTGCGAGTGTCAGAGCCTTTCAAGTCTTTTTCAATATCACTCAGACTGATGAATAACCAGACATCTGTTTCTTTTACTTTTGTTGACCTGTCATCACGCGTCATCTCATATCCTCCAATCAGCTTTTCATTTAATCTCTCCATCCCTCTCTTTGTGTCTGCTCTAATCCTGTTTTCCTTTCACCACATCCTTCTTTTCCTTTCATCTCCCTTATTCACATTTGGTTTTTCTATTCAGTTTGGTCCTGTATGGCCACTGCAACTGTAATCACATTGTAACAGACTGCTGTCATTTCTAAAGCCGAATGTGTGTTTATGCATTCATTGTCAAATGAATAGAAACAAATGTCCAGTTTGGACCACCTTTGGCCAGAACAACTGCCACTTACAGGTGGTAAAGGACCTATGTGTGAAGTTGTAGGTCACAACCAACCATACTCGCCGCAAAACTTGTGAAAAATGCGAAAAGTGCCTATCTAGAGCTCGTTTGTTTTGCCTGTTCTGGGCTACTGTAAAACATGGCAGTTCAACATGGCGGCCTCCACAGAAGAGGAACCGCTCCCTCTGTAGATATAAACAGCTCATTCTAAGGTAACAAAGACACAACAATTCTTATTTTCAGGTGATTATACACATAATGAAAACATACCTATGAATATTATATTCCATTTCTGACAATAGATCCTCCTTAATGTAACACACAAATTCGACTACTGTTGCACTGCTTTCTTTTTAGCCACACCAGCAGCAAGGGTCACGCCATCCCTTTGGTCCAGACTTAAATATCTCAACAATTGTTGAATGGATTCCATGAATTTTCATGTTAGCATCGTCATTGTCATCATGTTAGCATGACTTTAGCATTTAGCTCGACCAAAGTTATGTCTATGTAGGGCCGCTCACATATTGACTCTTGATAAGCCCTAACTACATTTTCTTGTATTTTAAAACCAAAGTTGTACGTTTTTGTCTTCTTGGAAGGTTAACTGACTTTGTATCTGAGTTCAATAATAATCAGCATCCAGTGGCTATGAGTTGTAGCACTTTGTGCCTTTATACTTCTGTCTGCTGCTCAAGTAAAACAAGGTAACTTATTAAGAAGCTTCCTATTTATAGAAACACAGCTTGGTAGTAATGTCACCTGTGTGCGACCACTATAGTTGTCCTGTTGGTGCAGACCTTTGCCAGTGAAGCCTGGATGTTTCTCTCAGTCTGGGTGTCCAGTGAAGAAGTGGCCTGGTGGACCAAACACAATACATTAGTGTGTGTACAGTATAAGGTAAGTAAGTAGTATAATCCAGTGAAAGACTTGCAATGTTCACCACTACTTAGAGACAGTTTAGCTACTATCTGATCAAACTTGGGAATTAGGAAAGTGTGTGTGTGTGTGTGTGTGTGTGTGTGTGTGTGTGTGTGTGTGTGTGTGTGTAACAACTGCTTTGTGTGACTGAACTCTTTGTTTGTTATGAAGTCTAGCTTATAAAAGAGAGTTTGCTCTCATTAAAGTGTCTTGCTCAAGGACACTTTGACATGTGGAGGACTGGAGGAGCCGGGTATTGAACCACTAACAATGTAATTAGTGGACGTATAGAGCTACAGCCGCCACAGTGGGGGAATGTTGGGGGATGTATATCAGGAAATGAAGTAAGATCTCAACAGTGACAATATAGTAACCTCCTCAAGTGTCGCCATATTACTTTTTTACAAAAATAAAAGATCTCAAACAACGGTTCATGTTCTTATAAGCCATGCAGGAAAGCATGTGGGCAAAGCCACTGGCACATGAGCTGCTTGTCTGAACATGGTGTTAAAAAGCAAGTATTTAAAAGTTGTAACCCCATGTATGAGTGCTAACTTCGCTGTACCCTCACCTCATCCAGCAGAATGATCCGAGGTTCCTTGAGGATGGTTCGAGCAATTGCCACTCTCTGCTTCTCCCCACCGCTGAGCTTCAGACCTCGCTCCCCAACCTCTGTGTCATACCCTGGTTGGACACATGCCATCATCTTCATTATTATCATCATTATTCACTTTCTGTGTCCAAATTTTACAACATCAAGATTCAAACTGTGTCCTGTTACAGATCTGCTTCAGCCAGCAAGTCAAGCAACAAAAGCATGTTCATCATTAGCATCTACACACACTCACACACCCCAGCCTGACCCTGAGGTAGCTCCAGTATCCTGGTGTGTATGTCAGCAGCCATGGCAGCTCTCTCAACTTCCTGGTTGCTAGCCGTCACTCGACTGTAGCGGATGTTGTTGCCGACGGTGTCGTTGAAAAGGACCGTATCCTGTGGAACCACGCCGATGTACGACCTCAGGGAAGACTGCCGTACCTTGGACAGAGAGAGGGACAAACCTGTTAGCCCCGGAAACAAAGGAATACAGCTCTTTTGCTAACCCTGATTCAAACTGTAACCAGCACTCAAACCCCGACTCTAAAGGCATGAAGTCTTCATTTCATGTCAGATTTACATACCATGTTGTACCTGTTCACTCATATGAGATCTTCAGATCTGCAACCCATGATACAAACATACATCTACTTCTTCTTCTTCTTCTTCTTCTTTTCTTCTCTCTCTCTCTCTCTGGCTCTCAATCTTTCTCTGTCTTTCTCTCCCACACACACACACACACACTCACTCACTCACACACACAGTATACGTCTACATAAATGTTGCATGGCTTAATTCATCCTATACTATATAATGCATACTGTCCCAGGTCACAGACAGCACATGTCCTGAACTGATTTCTGTTCCTGTTTGTCCTTCTCAACACTTTTACATGTTTTTATGCTTTACCCACTTAATTAATTATTATATTATTTAATGGACACCTTATGTACACTGTAGCACCACAACCTTAAGAGCTAAACCAGCATCTATATCAAATATCCCCATATGGACATGTTGGAGTTTTATAGACAAACAAACCTCCAAACCGTTTAGAAGCAGTAATGTTAGTTACATTATATACAGAGGCACAATATGCCTTGTCCACAGTGAATGTGCTTTCAGCAATAAAACATCAACAAACTACTATAATCTCTGAGAGTACCAAGATGCCAAAAGTGTGACTTCATTTTACTAACATTGGTGCCAGTAGTCTGGAGGGCCACATGTGCAGTAAGGTAGTTGGTTCAAAGGGCGGCAACATCTCATTTAACATTTAACTATTCACAGCATAAATTTGACAGTGAAGAGTTTGATGTCTGTGTTCGATGATCACCAGACCTCCACAGCGAGCTCAGTCCTTGAACTCTCATAGCAAGGCTGTTTAAGTGGTGCAGTGATTTAAAGGTCCAGTGTGTAACATTGAGGAGGATCTATTGTCAGAAATGGAATATAATAATCATAGCCTCCTGTGACCCTGCATCCTCATATGGGGACAAAGTTTTATAGTAAATAAAGTCCTAATGTCCTCATATGAGTGTTTTCTATTTGTGAAAACTACTAATTGTTGAAAGACAATGCTTGGTTTTTATGTTCATCAGGTCCTACTAATCCCAAATAGATAGGAGAAATTAAAAACGCACACCAAACAAAAGCTCATGTCTCAGGAGGTTATTTGTGTTTTAGATAGATGTGTCATTAATGAATAGCAGTTTTTATCTACAAACGCCATGGGTCTCCTTCCAGGGAGTCCACCATGGTGAACTGCCATGTTTCTACAGTAGCCCAGAATGGACAAACACTGATTGTAGATAGGGACATTTTTTGGAGCCACCGTAGTTCCTCCTACATACGTCACACTTTTTAAGGTTCTAGTTATTAATATTTTTATCTTAATAATGGCTGAATTAAGCTGTGATTATGGCACACCTGAAATTATACTGTCAGTGTGGTCATTCCTTGCACTGAAATGTTAGCAGCCAACTACAAGAACAGAAATTCTCAGGAAACTAAAAAGAAAACAATTTGCCAAGCTCTTTTAAGCATGCTGTTCTAATTAATAAATGGAAAGGGGAAACATTGAAATGGTGAAAGATAAGCTGTGGTGAACTAGTGAAACCTTGAACAACTGACAATTAGGAAACATAAACCTGTCTTCCATTAGCTTGCTATTTTAATAACCTTGTGAGGCAACTGGATTCAGAATCCACCTTGCCAGGCTTTAAGATGAGCTTGTGTCCGAAAGCAGTGGTTCGTACCAAGAAGCATCCTTTGAGGAACTACTATGAGCTACGGGCGTGGTTTAATGCAGCAAGAAGTGATTATTCGCTAGAAAACAACAATGGCGGCTGCGAAAGAGGTTAGCGTAGCTGCTGCTAACATCAGTTATATCAGAACTGGAAAGTATTTCTTCATTAAAAGAAGAGCAAAGAATGGCACTTATGGGTTTTCTTGATGGAGAAGATGTTTTCACTCCTCTCCCAACTGGCTTCAGCAAGAGTTTGACTACGTAATATGGTTTGTTGATCTGACTGGTTGAAGTTTGCCTGTGATAGACAGATGGTTCATCCAATCACCTGCTGTTCCCAGATGGTGCTGTTCAACAAACTATCTGGCGCAGTCAGGTTAATATTTTGAGACTGATTTTTAAAAACCGTTTCCAATATCATTACTTTAATTGTCCCATTGTGAATATTTTTAGATCCATATAGTGTCAAGAGCAGATGGCCCAGACTAGAGGGGGCTCAGTCCGACTTGGTCTGATCAGCTCAGATCTAAACCATTCTGGTATCAGCAAAATAGTCGTAATGTTTTTCCCCTATTTAAGAACTTTTTATGAAACTGGCTCTTGATCTCTCCAGAAATAATTTCCGGTTTTCAGTGACTCTCTGGTCAGTGTGCTGTACTTTGAGTCTTTCCTGTGGAAAGCTTTCCTCCACAACCGGGCCCACAACAATACAAATTCCATTTCCTGCACCAGCTCGGTTTGGCTGGTAATCACTCACTTTCCCTTAATTTGATCTTTGCAGTTTACTTTTGGTATTTATTCCACTCAAGAACAACACAGCATCTGTTTCTGATAGAGGAGGGCTGACAGAGCTCTAACACCAAATGTTAGAAAGAGAGAAAGAGACAGATGGAGAGGGAAGAGAAAAACAACAAAAAGAGGCTTTTAATGTTTTTCATTGAAATCAAATCATCAAGTGCGCAACAAAAGAGAGAAAATGAGTGTAAGACAGATGTCCTCACGCCCAAAAAATTACAAGTAACGTTACAGTAAATCTGCAGTATGATGCAGTTAAGATTTACTTCACCAACGACCACCTGTTTTGTGGAGTTGCTCATACAGAGGAAGTTGGCTGGTTGTGTCCTGCTTTAAGTCATTATAACCTTTTTCAATGCTAAGACCACAGCCTTTACATATCAAACCTTTATTTAAAGTCAGGGGACCATTGAGGTTGCCCTCTTACAGACAAATTAAAAGGGACACAACAGATGAGAAAAAAGAAAGAGAGGAAATCAGTTGAATTAGTTATGCTTTGAAGCAGGGAAGTTTGTGATCATGGTTCTAAATTGTTTGTAGGTTAGTCGAGTATGGCTTTTTAGAATTACGGGCTCTAAGAGAAAAGGCTGACTGTCCAAATGTGGGCCATGCTCTTGGAACCCTAAACATATGCCAGTCATGTGAGCAAGTTTGAATGAGTACCAAGTTCAAATCCAGCATCACTCAAGGTGGTAGCTTTCCAACAAGGGCCTTAAAACAAAAGACAACGCTTAATACACCTTTCTGCCGTATCACCATATCATACAGGATACAGTAGTGAGTACCATAGCTATCACCAGTTATAAATCTGAGGGAAGAATGAGATTTAGGAGTGGAATCCAAAACTGCTTTAACAAAGTAAGCAGAGTTTGAACTTGTCACAATAACTCTCTTTTCACATTCTTTACAAAACTATTTCTGTCACTTCTCATTTGTTTAACCGACTGCAATATCATGAATGCCTTCCAGAGGGACTTCTAATGCTGAAGTGCATGGCAGGCTTTTTACCCCACACTAGTGTGGTTGGACAACACATCAGACAAGGTGCTATCACCTTTGGTCAGAGCCAGGCTAACTTCCCCTTGTTTCCAGTCTTACAACTACACATATCAAACTATTTCTTTAATAATTTCGCTCTTGAGTAAACCTCTGTTCCTGTCTACCCTGTTCTAATCCAGCAATGATTCAGCTTACAGTAACTGATAAAAGCTATTTGCTTTAATAAATGCTCTGGTGGTGTGTGTGTGTGTGTCATAGAAGAGCAAGAAAAACTGGCCAGTTATGAGCAGTGAATGCCGACATGGCTGCACAGGAACTGAACTGTTCTTTATATCTGTTCAATTCTAATAAAAGGACCCTGACTGACACCTTAAAACACACAGATGACTCACACCAGCATTCAGTAAGCAGCCATCAGCCTGCAGTCTTAGGGCCAGCAGAGTCTGACTCATCAGAGCTCCACTGCATGTGGCTGCCATATGCAAGGACAAACAGAGTGGCAGAGGACTGATGGGCCAAAAACAAACCCAGAGGTCCAAGAGGCAGAGCTGTGTCCACAGCATCTGCTGTTTATGCAACAAAGAGTTGTGAAATAAAGAACTTACACTTTTACAGATTTCTCGCATGGCAGGAAGACAGCAAAACTTTCTATCTCTTTTAAGGTTTTGAAGCCACTAATAGCAGGCCCCAACAATAAGGGCTCCCCGCTTGCGCTGGGAAAGTAAAATGGTGTAAATCTAGCAACTTACTTGCTTGATCAAACAAGTGGTAAAAAAAGAATTAAACACATTGTTTTAGAGCTAATAATAGAAGTAGCTACTGAGTGAGACAACTCACTTCCTTCTCATCTCCGTTGAGAGTTGCACATGCACAGTAGCGATCAGGCGGCAAATGGCGACAAGTAAAGATAAAGTTTATGAGCTGAAAAAGTACAGCTAGTTTATATTGCCCGCGTCTGCATGGTGGAACGTTTTGATTTTATTTCAGCACCCATGTCTTATGCGCGTCTCACTACAGAGTCGAGGTCTCTAGCGATATGGTATTTTAAATGAAATGATAGGAACGTTTAGATTTTCATGGATATTATACAGGGAAAAGTGTAAAAGGAAACAGCTCTGCACACACAGCTGATACGTTCTCAGCGTGAACACTTTGCCCGTGGGAAAGGCAACCATCACACACCGGAGATGCCACACGTTGCTCAGTTGGCCTATGGGAACAATGGGGTAGCAAGTATTCCAATTATCCTGGAAACAGGAGTTTAGTTGGGTGGTGTTAGAAGATGTGGGTGAAAATCCAACTATTGCACAGTGTGCCACAGATTTAAGGGCAAGGTGGATGAAACAGGGCTGTGTTTCAAAGGCCAGTCTTGATCATAGCCATAGCTTAATAAACAGACTGGACATGGAGAAACAGCTATCCTGGCTCTATCCAGGGTTTTAAAAATGTGTCTACCAGTACCTCAACATTTTTGTCATTAACACATTTTATCTTGTTTTTTTAATCCGAACAGAAACAAAAAAAACAAGTTGTGGTTTACAGGGAGTTCTGCACTGCTTGCAGTCTTTATGCTAAGCTAAGCTAAGCTAATCTCCTGCTGGCTCTAGCTTTATCTTTACAGTATATGCCAAATTATTCATTTAATGATTTTTGCATCCAGTGAAATTGCACTGGACTCAACACATCTCACTATGCTGACTCATTTTACCATAATTAACACAGAAGATGAGATAAAATGACTTGTTTATATATTGTATGAAGTAAAACATGCCAAAGAGTCCGCTGATACATTAAAAAGTATTTGTATGGGAATACATGGTGGATTTTAACATCTGACAACAGGCAACATGTGAAACAGATGGTGAGTAAAAACTGCTGGCATCAAATCCAAAGCACAAAATTCCTTCTTTCCCTTCTCACTCTCTATCCGTAACAAAGGTGAGACTTTATGACCACCATCTGATCCAAATTTGTTTTTATTGATTCATCTCTCGCTTCTTTTCAAATGTGATTCAGCTGTCTGAGGGAATTACCACCTAGTTAAATAGTTTATTTCATCATATCAGTTCCTCATTTTCAGCTGTTATTTCTGTCATAAATAACTCGAAAAAATAGCTTAAAAGTGCCCCCTAAAGAGAATCCCCCACCACAGGTTTCACCAATATGTATGAAAATCAGTAAGCACGCGTATCGTCAGACGTACAAAACATCCTCTAGGAGTCATACCCCAAACCCAACAGGAAGTCGGCGTTTTTTAATTTAGTGGTAATTTTGGAGCATTTAAACACGTTGTACTTTAACAAACTCCTCGTAGATAATTGTTCAGATCGACTTCAGATTGGGTCAGTGCAATCTAAAGACCTTCACAATGAAAAGATTTTAAAAAGATTTTGTGGAAGAGCGTGTCTGTGGTGTGGTGTCGAATTTTAGTGTCCCACCATGAAACAATAAGTTGAAGTAACTTCACTGTACATTTTATGTACATATTTCATATCATGTAGCATTACGTGTAATTAGTGGCCATTCTCTAGCGCTACCTGTGGTCACAGGAAGTGCCATTTAAATCCTTTGCGCATTGTCTGAAACAAAATTCAGAGCCACACCAACCAACATCCAGAAAAGATGGCGCGCGTGGACCGCAGCATTAAGCACTACCTGACGCTTTAATTTTAACTATAATTCTTCTTCTAAATGCAGAGTTTCATTTTGATTTGGAGCTTTAGAAACTTTTCTTGGATGGATAGAGAGATGTACATTTCACTGGGGCTTTCAGAAAAGGGCCGGCCCCGATGCTGCCTAACACAACAACAGGACGGATCCTTTGGCAGAGGAGGCTGAGGAGTTTTACCACTTCCTTTTCCTCCCCCTCCTGGAGACGCTCAAAAGAACGAGACTGATACACAATCTGAATTTGATTAAAGAGATGACCATGTGTGTGTACATGTGTGTTGATGAAACAGTCCTCCTGCTGTGTAATTAGAAATGAACATCCTCGTAATCATCACCTGCCTGCTCATCTGGATGAGCGTGTCCTTCGTATTTAAACAGGTGTGTGAGTGTGTGAGAGAGTAAAGTGCTTGTGCTGTTTGGTTTTTATTGAGACTTTTGGCAAATCACAAACAGAGTTACTTGCAATAAATCTTTCACACACACACACACACATCTGGCGTCTGGACTCGTTGCTGCATTATTCAGAAACCTTTTACTATGATTTATTCACAGTGTGACTGGAGCTCACTCACTCAGCCCAGCTGGGTATGTGTGTGTGTTTGTGTGTGTATGTAAGAAAGAGAGAGAGTGTGAAAGAAAGGTGCGTGAGGCAGAGGCAGGAAACAGCAATGAAGAGTGACAGAGAAAAGAAGAGAAATAAAGAACGATGCAAAGAGAAACAGACACATGAATCAGAGATAAAAAATCTGACGATCACAGCTGATGGTAAAAAGGACTGTAACACTGCAGTTTAAAGGAAGAGTTCGACATTTTCGGGAATTTGCTGAGAGAGTTAGACGAGAAAATCAATACCTATCTCTGTGTGTGCAGTAAACATGCTGCTCCAACCCGCAGTCGGTTAGCTTAGCTTAGCACAAAGTGTAAACAACAATAAGTTGTGATTTAACGGGGCGGAGCTAGACTATTTCTATGCCGGGCTAAGAAATAGTCCACACAGTACAGTCTTTATGCCGGGCTAAGAAATAGTCCACACAGTACAGTCTTTATGCTGAGCTAGGCTATCCATGGCATCAATCTTACTGTAAGTGCATAAGTATATTCCCTGAAATAATATTCATTGGTATGTTTTCATTAGTGTATAATCACTAAATAAGAAAAGAAAATAAGTATGGGTGTGTTTTTGTTGTTTGTTACCTAATGAGCTATTTTTATCTACTGAGAGAGCAAGTTCTCTTCTAAGGAGTCCACCATGTTTCTACAGTAGCCCAGAACGAACAAACCAAAGCATGGGACACAACTCACTATTGTGAAGGTTGGTCAAATGTAAAACTTCAACACCAAACATGGCCATTGAACCAAACTGTCCTCAGACTGCTGAGGTAAGAACCACAAAACTGAACCATCTGGAAATGTCAAGCTATCAGCTGTAAAATGAACTGCACAGTGTGACAGTCCGGTGGGTCAGCATGTTCAACTGTGAATACAGAGAAACAAGTAAGGGCAGCAAACTCACCAATGAACATTTACATCATGTCTGCCTGGCCATCACACCTTTAGTGCCCAAATTTAAGGATTTGGTTACTCAACAAAGGATTTTGTGTACAAAGTTCTCAGGTGTTTTAAAGGTAATGTAAGCAAAATCACAGCCATGAACATGAAGCACTTGCAGATGAAGCTCTTTGGAGATAAGCATTGCTTTATATGCTCTGACCAACCCCATCTCCAATAAATTACATTTAATTTGTTTTCCCAGTTGTGTTGTATAACAGACACAACATAATTGCTGGCTGGATCAAACAGCTGCCAAGCACTGCAAGTGCTGCAAATGTTGTACACATGTTCACGTGTTGTGCACATTTTTACAAATGTTCTGTGTTGTCTGGTTCCCTGGAAGGACACAAATACTGGAAACCTGAAAACTCTGGAAAATTGTTGGCAGTAATAAAAGAATATAGAGTTTGTAGTTAATGAGCATTCGGGGGTACACGCAGCGGTCCTGCAAACTTGCAACATTTTTGTTTTAATCTGTTATTTTATTCAGCTTTATTGCTGATTGGATTTGATTTTTAAAGAGCTCTATCATCCATGAACTGAACTTAATGTTGGTGTTTTCATGTTTGTTTACCTTGGAAATGTCCTGACCGTCGATGCGGATGCTGCCACTCTGAGGGTCGTAGAATCTGAACAGCAGACGCAAGATGGAGCTTTTCCCTGATCCAGATGGGCCAACCTGTGTCCACACACACACACACACACACACACACACACACTATTGGAATTCCCAGTCTCAATTTAGTTACTATTAATATTATTAATTAATATTTCTGCCACAGTCCGTCACAGTGCTATTGAAATGGTTGGTTCAAACATAAAAACACACATTTTCTCTCTCACTTATAGTGACCCATTAAAGGCTTGATAAATAATAGGAATGTAGATGCACTAAACAGATGACAATTTACCAGAGCAACTGTTTCTCCCGCCTCCACCGTGAAGGTCACATTCCTGAGAACCTCAGTGCTACAAAACACACACACACACACACACACACACACACACACACACACACACACACAGCAGCAGCAGCAACAGTTAGGATTAAATTAATTTAATTACTATTCATACCAAGGCTACTTTAAATCTGGCTGTAACTCCTGAAAGTTTGTGGATTTGACAAAAGAAGTGTGACCATGAACATCTGGAAAAGAAATTAGTTAGTAGTTCAGTTCATTGTGGTTCAGTGTTCGGTGCAGTGTGAAATGGCGGATTTTTATGTTTACTCACATAATGCTGTAAAGAAAATATATAATATAAATGCCAATGTATATCATGTTCAATTAATAAAGGTCTATATGTTTTTCACAGTGTTACTCTTCCTGGTAACCAACTGGGCTACTTCACTATAAAGATGAAGCTTGTCTTTCAAAATAAAAGGCCCAGAATGCCAAATGACATAATTGTGACCAAACATATATAAATATTGGGAATTTTTCTTCATATTGTCTATCAAACTGTTCATTTAATATGTTTTTGGAATTGCATCATGACATGTTCTCACTCCCAAGTCCTCAAATACTTCTGCTTGGTCGGTGGCCTTCCGCTTCAAAATAGGGCATGGCAGGTATCCCTCTCCTGTCAATTCTGGATACACAAGTTTCCACAGTGAAGTACGCAAGAATAAATATGCAACATCCTGTCAGACTTTCAAAATAAAGCTTGAGTGGTTAACGGGAAACAATCACAGTTTGGTTAGGTTTAGGCACAACAACTTTACAAAGCTACATTATGTATCTGACTACATTTATAAGACGTAAATTACGTAACTTAATTTAAGCACACAAAGAAGATGTGATTTAAATACCTGGTTAACTTAAGTACATTACTTAAGTTAACTTACATGTCACTTTTTGGAGTTTTAACTTGGTTAAAGTCATGTGCCTGAGCCATCCATCCAACCCATCTCCTCCATACTGTATGCAGACTTACTCGCTCTTTATACAACATCACCTGACTTTGACAACGGGCAAATCCAGAAACGATGCTAAAGGGATACCTACAGAATCATATTTTGAAATGGAGGGCCACTGGCCAAGCAGCAGTATTTGAGCACTTGGGAGTGAGAGCGGGTTGTGCATTATGTCTGTGTCTTGGTTTCTTTTTTAAACAAATATATGTCATATTAATTTTTAACAACATGTCCTTCAACCTAAAGGACTAAACAGGTCATGTGACATTGCCTTCTGAAATGATTCACTCAATGATTTACCATCTCTGTAGTTCATGTCGGGTTGGATTAAGACACTAAGACAAATTGTGGTCATGGTTACACCAAACTTTTCAGAATAACATACTGTTTAAGTGTTTTCTGGTGAGGGCAGTCTGTGTTCATGCAGTTTGTATGTACAGTTGAAAGAAATTATAGAAAGGTGGATTTAAACTGTAAATAGGTTTGTTGTTGGCTACACACCCAGGCACGTAGCTGAAACAGACTCTGTCAAACTCCACCTGACCTGCTGTGAGCTGCAAGTCCTGTGCATTCTCAACATCCTGCACCTGTGAGGAGGAGGAGGAGGAGGAGGAGGAGGAGGAGGAGGAAAAGACAGACAGGGAACACAAGAGAGATGAGATGTGGTTTAAATTTTTTTTTACTAGATACCAGAAAAATATCAAATCAATCTCGACTCAAGATCAGCCTGCTCGCTTGCTTTACACACACTTGTTTCACATAGTCGTCTTCATCGGCTGTTTCCGAGGTTGACAAGAAAACTCAACATTAAGATCACCATGCATGGACATGCAAGAATATTTTTGTATCCTTATCTTAACTTTCTCTTGCTTTTTTTGTATGGTGGGCTTGTATGAGTGTTTGGATAACAGTTGGCTAATTGCACATCACTCCTATGTGCCTAAGTGAACATTCAAAATAAGCAAAAACTGGTGAATGCCGCAAGTTCTCATACAAGCCACCTAAAAACGAATGTATGTGGTTGTTGCATGGCCTGATGTTAAACATTGCTGTTGCACCAAAGTCTGGACTTGGACTGTCTTGGATTTGCACTTCGACTTGCCTCAGACTTGGCCACTGGTCACGCCAAATATTTTAATTTGGAATCCAGCAATATATTTTTTTTTTTTCTGAGTAACCTCCTCCTTCAAAACAAAACCACTTGTTCAGAAAACGGGTGTTGGTTTATTTCAAAATCCGTCTCGGCTGCCCAAACTCCTCTCAATGGCAGTGGTGAACTCTGTCTCTCCTATTTGGACTCAGACTTGTCTTGGACTCGAACCTCTTTGGATTCGGTCTCAACTAGTCCTGGTCTTGGACAAAGATCGACTTTGAACATCTGCAGTCCCATGACTCCATGACCACAAGTCTTTCTTTTTGTCAACTGTTGTTTCCAAGATCAAGAATGAGCTGTCAAACTAGCGAGGTTTTTATTTTTTTTTGGAGAGGAAGAGACAAAAAGAAGAGGAGGTGGGAGGAAAAGAGATGGTGGAGAGAGATAGAGAGAGAGAAAGAAGGGAGAGGAGAGGGTATGAGTGAAAGGGAAATAGGAGGATGAGAGGAAAAAAGTGGTCAAAAAGTTCAGTGAGAATTACAATAAAGGTAATCCCATAATTCTCTCTTCCTTTATTTTTCCCCTTTATCCCTTTCTTCTTCCTCCCATCACGTTCTAAATTTTCACCATTATCACCATCAGCTTTCGCAATCCTTCCCTACTTTCTGACCTCCTCCTCACCCTCCTCCTCCTCTACGCCCACCCTCGCCTGCTGCTTCCCAAGCCAAAGAAAAGGGCTGCTGTGTTTTTAAGGTGCTCTAATGCTTTTGTCTACATTCATGTGGCTGTTTACCATATCAAGGGCCTGTGAATGTAGGAGCCTTTAGCGAGGCAGCCGGAGGACGCCTTTTCCCACCGAAACGCACACAAAAAGACAGACGTACACACACAGGCATACACAGCAGACGCTGTGTTTTAGTGTGTGCATGCGCACAAGTACACACAAGCGCACAAAGTCACACACAAACACTTGTTGACCTCCTAATCCGCTGACCTCTGACTGTGTGAGTTTCTCTGTGTCCAAACAGGACTGAAGCAGTGAAGCTGATCAGAAATTAATGCCTAATAAGGGTTTAGATTATTATCCACTTATCTGTTAATATTATATTTAATTTATATTGTTATCAAACACACACTTCTTTATGTATTTGATTTCTACGGAAGCATATTGCAGCCACGCCAGAAAAAGAAAAAACAGATCAGTATCACGTTAAAATGTGAAAGGTTTATTGTTATAACAAGTTATTTTTCCATTATTACAACATAAGTCAAAGATAGATAAACTGCTGCCATCTTGAACAAAAAGAGATTTTTGGAAGATGTTACATTATTAGCTTGTTTTGGGTGTGTTTATCAGTTTGTGTCTTTTATTCTACTGAAGTGTCCTTGACACTGAATCCAGGTCCTGACCTCTGTCCTGATGTGAAGGGGGGAAACTGAAAAGACAATATCTCTGTAGAGAGGAAAAAGAAGAACACTCCTCTTTCTGCTGATGACCCTTTATGGCAAACAAGGGCACAGTGTCTTGCTCACCTTGGATGTATTTTTTGACAAGGTGGAGAAAGTATTTTCTTCAAACAATTGGGATTAAATTAACAACCTTCTACACTACGTTGGGCCGTTAGATTTTCCCTACTGATCAGCATCCACATATTACGTTTTTTGTTTTTTTTAGCATCAAAGTTAATCTCACTTATACCACAGATGTACTTGAACATGCGTGGTCCAATATGAGTTAAACTATGACAAAAACTATACCCCTGATAAGTGAGACAATTGCTCTTTGTGACTTACCTCTTTCTGCTCTATCAACAGTGCCAGCATGTTCTCCATGTCAACAAATGCACTCTGAATCAGCCTGCAGAGACACATGATGTGCAGTCAGTATTATTAGAATAGAATAGAATCTACTTTATTGTCCCCAAGGGGAAATTTGTCACAGTGCTGCAATCTGTTGCTTGACAAAAACAAACAGAAAACAATCCCAAAATCAACATGAAAAAACAACAACACACATTTGACTATTCTTTTAACACTGACAATACAGCAGCTTAAAAGGAAACTGCAAGAAACTATAAGAATGAAAGTGCTATGGTACGATCACTGCGGTTGGTTTGATTTGCACTTTGCCACATGGAATCTTCTACCTGATGGCAGATGTTCGTATTCAGAGAAGGGGGGATGCAGTAATAGTGGTAGCAACATTGGTACTAGAGGAAGTAGTGGTACTAGCTTTAGTAGAAGAAATAGTGGAGGAGAGGTATAGGAGCAGTAGTATTCACAGGTTTGCATCTTTATTATAGATTGATTGACCATCAGTAACAATAGTCACATTAATACATGCAGCAACTATGTCAAAGCCTCTTCTCCCTATGTTCATAGGTGAGGTCTAAACAAGTAAACACCAAAGAATGATGTAAAGAAATTCCAGCCATTGGGACCATCAATCACAAATTTATGCAAATCATATCGGCAGCAACCAGTTCGCCTCAGTCTTTTATTGTAGCTTTGAAAATGATGTAATGGGGTTTTTCCATCAAGACAGTGGTAAATCACAGACCTCCTCGTACATTAATCTCACCTGTAGTAGGTACCAAACCAGTTGAGAGGAGTGTACAGCTGGATGATGTAGGTTCCAAACAGAACGTAGTCTCCGACCTGAGGAAGAGTTAACACATACAGCTACTGAATATTAAGTTACAGAGACAACCTGGTCCTATGATAACTGAAGGTTACTGTAACCAACTGGGGGCAGCCGAACAGGCTGACAAACACATGGAGAAAGTGAGACACACAAACACATACACAGGTGATCACAATTTAACTGTGGCTTTTAAAGCAGACTGGCTTCACCAGTGTTGATTAAGGTGTGTCCTAAGGTCATATAACTACGGAAGCCCTAAAGGGGGCCATGCATTCATAAGTTTCATTTCCTCCGTTTTCCCATGATAACGAGTTAATTTTATCTCGAGATAACGAAATAATTTATTTGAGATCTCGAGATAATGACTGTGATATGATAACTGCTGTCAAGCCAGCCGTTACTCCGATCTCTGTGGTCAAATCAGCCGCACTTAAATTTACAGCGTATTCACTTCCGGTTTTCAAAATAAAGGTATTAAGAAAAGTAAGCTATAATTCAAACCTACATTTAAAATAAAATATGTTACATTAAACTAAAGTGTTTCATGTGCCCATGAAGAATAAAAAAACATACTTAATATCAAGCATTTTACTGCACCAATGTGAAGAAATGCCAAAACAAAAGTTCCATATTTGTACCTCCAAGTGGCATCTTTTCTCATATTTGAGGTACTGTAAAAACATATTGCTCTATAATTCCTGGCTATGGATGGTATATTTGACTTCTACACATATAAGAATACAAGTATACTTAATATCAAGCATTTTTACTGCACCAATTTGGAGAAATTCAACAATAAAATATTTGTACCTGCTTTTACTGTACAGAACTACAGTACAGGCATTTCTTCACATTGGTGCAGTAGAAATGCTTGATATTAAGTATGTTTTTTTATTCATCAAAATACCAAGTTTCCCTAAGAGTCCCTAAGTTGCATATGCAGTATGCATCACTGTCAAGTCTGAGTCATTATGGTCAAGCAAATGGCACAGTCACAGAGGTCATGTTGAAGTGAACGGGATGATGCCCAAGTCATCACAGTCAAGTCAGAGACACAGAGGTCATGTCTAAGTCATTGTGGATCTGATCCATTTCAGTGAAGTTCACTACTCAAGGTGCACTCTCAGTGGGATCAAGATCTTATTACGGATTTTTATCTTTTTTTATTCTTTTTTTAGCTTTTCACTCTTCATTCACCTGGAATTGCCCCTCAGAGACCAGGTAGGCACAGAGCAGAGAGCCAGCCAGCAGTCCTGATCCTATGATGATGTTCTGGGTTTGATTCAGCAGAGCCAGGGACGCTGAGCTCTTCCACTCACAGTGCTACACAAACGCAACCAGCACACATACAAAAAACAATAAAAAAAACAAGTATAGAAAAAGAACTTAATCAATTTTCAAGGATTTGAATTGTTTTGAACTGAAGCATACTAGCAGGGTATTTTATATCCACATGTGAAAAGCAGATGCGAGTTGTCTATCTGCTATCGTTACGGTTCACTTACCTGATATTTCAGAATGGCTTCCTCAAAGCAGCGGACTTCATAATCCTCAGCATTGTAATATTTTACCTGTGAAAATACATCAAATACAACAAATCCTCAGAGAGTGAGGACTGAAACACCCTGAAATGGCCTGCAACTGAAATATCTTACTTTCTAAAAACATCTGGAAAACACTACAAGTGGAACGTCTCAGAAGATCTTGGATGTCCCAGAGGGACAAATGTACCAATGTGGGATTCTTTGTGAGGCTACATGACAGGTGGATGTTTTTACAAGCACGACAGACTGCACCTGGACACACCTGGATGGGACGTTGGGTGTGGTTTACTCCATTAGAGATACAGTGTGGAGGTATTTTTCAGCCGTAAAATGAACAGGAAGTGTGTGGCGTTATCTACCGTCTCAAAATTGAGCAGTGAGTCTACAGCTCTGGACTTGGCCTTGTTGTCTTGATTGTTCATCTCTCTCCTGTATTTGGTCCTCCACTCTGTGATCAGGATGGTACAGGCTGCAGATATATGGTACAGATTGGTTAATATCAGTTTGGAGCTGCATTTGACAAGATTGTCATGAAGCAAGAGGTAGGATCTACAATCATTTTTACAATTTACAAACATCTAGCGCATTCAAGTTAAAATTACCATTGCAATACCAGCATACACCTGTCCCTTTCACCTCACACAGTATCTACAGAGGGAGCGGGTCCTCTTCTATGGAGGCCGCCATGTTGAAATGCCATGTTTCTACAGTAGCCCAGAGCGGACAAACCAAACGCTGGCTGTAGAGAGGGCACTACGTGTTTTTCGTGATTTTTGCAGCCCCCATTGTTTCTCCTACACACTTGGAAGTTGATCAGTAATCGGTTATTTGCCTGCCAGATGCTACTAAATCCTCCACAATGGCCCTTTAATTACATGGCATTATTGTGATTTAAGAAATGGTTGTTATAATTACAACAAAAGAAAGGTTTCCATCAACTTGAAATCAACTTGGATAATTTAAAATGAATAAGATATCAAAGTCTAGATGAGCAGAAAAATTACTAAAAGAAGAGAAAACACACTCTCATCACACACACACACACACACACACACACACACACACACACACACACACATCGACTCACTGAGGTAGAGGACCATGCAGGCGAAAACGATGAATCCAAACCAGACACTGAAGTAGGAGACGAAGTAGATGATGGCAATGATGATGTCACAGATGGTGGGAAGGATACTGAACAGGATGTAGCTAAAGACAAAAACAATCACCCACTGTTACTCACCCACTACATGTGTTGTTTACTATAGTCACATTGAACCCGAGAAGAAACTCATCATGTTTTGGTAACTGAACCCCGCTCATGTGAGGCTCAATGTCTCCACCCGCCCGCCTCGTCCCGTCCTACCTCAGTAGGTTGTTGATGGAGGAGGTACCTCTGTCGACACTCCTCAGCACGTCTCCGGTGCGTCTCTCCAGGTGCCAGCGCAGAGACAAAGCATGCAGGTGGGAAAACAAACACACCTAAAGTGGGCAGGGAGAGGGACAGAGACTTCTACTCATGTGACTATAATACAACTGTTACTCACTGAGACCATGTCCAATGTAAGCCCGTTACATCTGAGTTTTCTTTTGCTGTTGTCAGACAACTTCGCAAGTGTAAAATGATAACTCAGTCAAAAGGATTTACTTTGCTAACATGGAGCCATGGAAAACAGATGCAGACAGAACATCTGGCCACAGAGATTATCTCTCCAGCTTTCAGCCTGCTCAGAGGACAGTGTTTTATGGGTTGAGCTGTAGGACATGGCAGGGCAAGTATCCATATACCCTGACCACGGAGGGATCCTTGCCCATACGTATGTTTGGAAACTGTAAGCGTGTAAAGAGTTTGTGGAAAGATTGTCTCAGTACAACAGAGAGTGGAGGGTTAACCTGCTGAGGCTCAGCAGAGGAGACAAGGTGTGACTACTCACTTCAAGATGACCGCTGTAATGCACATTTTTGTTGTTTTGTCAACCCAAAGAGGGAGAAGATTAACAGATTTTCCAGTATCTTCATGAATAGTTCTCACGAGTAAACAATGCTTCGTGATTTATTAAATGACTTTAGAAAGGATGTTGTTAGTAGGGTTAAGTGAAACAAGTATCCGGTACAGATAATGGACTTTTCATCAGTATCATCAGAATACAGTGCATCAATATCCGTACTACAACAACCAAATCTGTAGGAAAAACAAATCAGAAAGTCAGACGTCAGACATTAAAGTGAAAGAATGAAAAGACCCAGGAAACATACAGAAGACAAAGTAAAAGAAGAAGAACTATGAGTGGTACCTGAATGCCTCGGCTGGTAAACTGCTGAACTTTGATCCACATGAACTGACGGAGGTTGCTGATGAACCCAGAGGTACCTACAAGGAGCAGAGAAGACATATGGACTTAAGCACACAGGTAGCTGCTTACATTCTATCACATACATTTTATTTTGTACACACACATTCCTCTAAATAAGAACACACACTCACGCACCTGCCCCTCCGCCCTGTAGGAACTTGAGCAGTGTGTAGATGCAGACGGTGGCGGTCAGCGAGGTCCAGGCGCCTCCTGCAGAGAGCTCATTCACTACACACACATACACACACACACACACACACACACACACACACACACACACACACACACACACACACACACACACAGAGAGAGAGATACACAGAAAGACATTTTCATTGTGACCATCATGAACTTTGGTTTTCACAGTGATAATCCTGATGTTGAACTTTCCCACAGTGGAAACCAAGCAAACACACACACCAGGGGTGGAAAGTAACTAAGTACAGTTTTAAAGGAACTTTTTTTTTTTACTTACTTGCTGCTTTATACTTATAATTATACATACTACATTTATCTGACTTTACTACTGATAGAAAATAGAGTCCCACTAAATTATGAATTGTATTTGATGTATTGTTATAGGTTGAGATAAGACATGATTTATTCCTGTTGGGAAATTTATAAACTAACCAGAAGCACATCCAAAATCCTACTGATTACTTTTAGAGGCCAGACAGGTCCAACCCCTAGTTTTATTTCTGACCTTTTAACTCTTTATGAGCCAGAAAGCAACTGTAGATCCTCTGCAAAGATTGTGGTTCCACAATGGAGGCTGAAGACTAAAGGAGACTGCTCTATTAAAGCACCTGTCCTTTGGAACTGCCTACCTGAGAGAATAAATAGGCTAAATCTGTTCCATCTTTTAAATCCCTAATTATATTTTATTTATTTATCTTATTGTTTCATTTCCAAACACACTGCCATGTCTAATGTTTTTTCCTGTGTTTTATGTTTTTAATCTCTTTATAATAGTATCTCTGATTGTTGGTGTGTTTTTGGTTGTATTCTGTCTACCTCATATATTGCTTTTAATCTTTTTTTCTATGGCATTTTATATTTGTATTATTAGAAGGAGTATATCATTAGAATTAGCTCCACCTTTACTAGCTGCAACATGAAAATGGTGAACACAATACGTATCAGTACGGAAGCCAAGAACAGCCATGTTTGCAATTATTTTTTTACCCCCTATCTCGAGATCACAAGTTAATTTATCTTGTTATTTCTCAAGATAATGAGTTTATCACGACAAAACGGCTTTTGTTTTCTCAAGATCACAGGGTTATTATGGAGAACTGAAAAACAAGTGTCTGGTTCATTTCATCACACCTGATTTCAGCCTTCAAGATCACTGTCATGACTGTCGGAGGAGAAAACAGTTGTTAGCAGAATGTACATGAGAGTTCATTTAAACTATTAATTTACTGCGGTGTGATGCAATAGTGACAATATCAGATTGATATTTATTAAATGAGCTCAAAGATCCCTGCAATGTTCTGATTCTGTTCATGCACTTTTCCGCTTTTTGGTCAGTATTTAAATGAATTCCTTCATTCTGCCATGCTTTGTCCATTATTTTAAATCATTGTTACATCTATAATACACCATCTATGCATGCTCTCCTGATCTCTGATACACGTTATAAGCTGGGGCGTAACCACACATTCTTTAGGGGGGGACTGACGAATCGATCTGTTCCCAGCATTATACAGTATAAGATGTGTTAAATATGGCCGCCTATTTTCAGTGCTGTCTCGTTATTTATTTATTTAGAATTTATTTCAGTTTGTTAAGCCAAGTCAAGCCACTAGCGACTGTGTAATTTTTTCCCATTGAAAGCCATCCTATATTCACTACTACTGGAAAATTGTGCTGTGTTAAGCAACCAATATGAAATGTGGAAAGGCTATCTCAGGCTATGACAGACTATTCCTTTTAAAGTGAATTCCAATGTCTATATGGTCCTCAATGCTATGTTCTAAATGTGCAACATTTCATAAATATCACAGAATTGTGGGAAATGTACATAAAAATTATTTAGGAGGGCTCTCATTTGGACCCAGCCCAATAAAACATGGTTACGCCCTTGATTATAAGTAACAAGAGGAAACAGCCTTTAGTTTTCTTGTGAGCTTGAGATAATGGCATTAAAAAAATATAATATAATTGCAATCATGGCTGTTCTTGGCTTCCGTACATCAATATTAAATATTATTCTGCATAATGAGTACTTTTACTTTACACTGTGCTACTTGTAGTGAGTACTTCTTCCACCAATGACACACACACACACACACACACACACACACACACACACACACACACAGTCATGAACACATTCACACACTGCCCTTTTTGCCACACACACACACACACACACACACACACACACACACACACACACACACACACATTCTCATTCACATTCATTACCCTTTTTGTACAAGTTCTGGGAATCAGGATGAAATGGAAAAACAGACAGAGATGAGGGGAGGAGGAGGAGAAGAAGAAGAAAAACTGAAGACCCAGACAGAGATGAGAGAAAAGAAGGGAGAAAACACGATAAAAAAAAGATGGAGAGAAATGAATAAAGAAATGTGTGTATTCTACATTCTTTAACTTTCTAGTGTGTGTTTTCAGTGGGGGGTATTTTCAACTCTTTGGCACCGGGTCCTGGAGTCGGAGGGTGGGAGGCGGGGTCGGACCCAGAGACAAAACGTCCGTTGTACCGGTGTGTTAACTCCACGAAAAAGGCCGCTAATGCCGGCTAAGCATGACTGGCAGGAGGGGGTGACCTCCCAGAGAACCCTCCGCACACACACACATACACACCAACAACAACCCCCACCCCTCCGACACCCCTTCTACGCCTTCCTCATCACACAAAGCAGCGCTCGGCTTCATTCTCGCAGCGCTGGCTCATACTTTCATGTTGCTCCAAAAGCCAAATGGGCAGTTTTTCTAAAGGGAAAAGTAGCTGAAGACAAACTGAATGCTGACTTCCTCTGAAGTGGAGACTTCTGGGTTGTTGCCTTGTGGTGGATGCAGTCCTGTGTACAAAACAGGGAACACAAGACCTTGGCAAATGATGACACCCCCTGAAAAATGAAGGTTGCTTCCTCCTCCAACCAATCCTAAGATCTCATTCCACAGTAGCTGAGCTGTTTTATAACAAATGAATAAACCGGCACAAACTATTAATTTATTTTTTACAGTTTATGGTGATGTATGTTACAGTACTGGATCCATTCAGTATGAAGTTATTGGTGGGCATTTGTAAAGGTTTATTCTGTTTAAGTTGTTAATGTGTTTTTTGGATCTATTCAGTCATTGTCATTTCAACATTTAATTGGCTCATTTAGATTAAAATCCTGTACTTGACCATCACGGCCGGGCTGATTATGTAAGGGCTGGACTGAGAGATTCTGTACTGAAGCTCCAGTGGATAACTGGCCATAAAGAGTGTATCAGTTTGTTGGGTAAAAATGTTCAAACCCGGCCAAGAATACGGTGGAAATCTTGCCGACATTCACTAAAATACATTTTTAAAAATACATATTGGAGCCAGAAAAAAATAATCTGATATATATGAGTTTTATTGGAGTCAGCACACCAACAAAACAGTGAGTGTGGTCCCAGGACCGGACTGACTTTCTGCTCACAAACACCTTCTTATATACTGAATTAGAACTCTTCCTTTGCTGATCCTTCACCTGTTTTTATTAAAATTAAAACCTTAAGGATTCGGAAACAATGATATAATCTCTTGAACAGGTTTCCCCCTAGTGGTTAGGTTTTCTATACGCCCAAATTTGGATCTAATGCCGTTTATTTTTTTACATAGTGGAACTTGTGTTGACCTTATTTTTCTGTGGCTGCACCTGACATGATCTCACTCCTGGAAAGATGTCATTTTGGACTTTGTTGGCCCAACCTTGTTTCTTCTCCACTAGGTATTCTTGACCCTATCCCCTCTTTGTAGTGATGCTTTAGTCTCTTCATTCTGGACATTATTGTTATTGCCAAACCTCTGTATTCTTAAACAGAGAACAGAAATGCTCTAAACATACAGTTTTAATGAATTTACTTATCCTTCTAACTTTGATGCCATTTTAGTTGTATTTTTACTTCAACAAGATCCAGATGGATCCAAAACTTCAGTGGAAGAAAAATGAAAATGTTCACAAGATCCTTTGGACCACTCATTAAGTGCCTTTGCTGGAAACTGGATGTGTGTGTGCGTGTGTGTGTGTGTGTGTGTGTGTGTGTGTGTGTGTGTGTGTGTGTGTGTGTGTGTGTGTGTGTGTGTTTTAAGATAAATACATTTGTGTTTCTGTGATCTTTAGTGCTAACCATGGCTATGGCTACTGTGTTGTCAATTCTGTTAATTGGAATAGGCAGCAACAGTGCACAACTCCTTCGCCATGGTTACTGGCTACAACTACAGCCTGCACAATACGCTACATGCTACATGCTACACTATAGCTGTAGCAACCAATTAGTCATCTCTCCGAGGTAAACCGGATCAATACTGTCCCTTGTAGCCTGAGGTCAGAAAGTAACCACTGCCACTATGGTTGTCAAGTCAACAATTCCTCCAAAGGAAATAAATAATCTGTTGTTTGTCCACTCTAGAACATCACATAGCAACGTTATCTGATCTCTGTCAGCAGGATGACGTCTGTGACTGCCGTAACAAATCACCTGTACCATATACTACAGGTTGCTACTATCCAGCAACTCTAATCTCACGTAGCCAAATAGCATATAGACAAAATGCAATAAAGGTATGGCCAAAGCACACATGTTCTATTGCATTTGAATGCAATGCTTCTACGCATATGGCAATAAACTTGAAATTGTTTCAACTTCCGGACACAAAAGAAAGAAAAGATAAACAGCTGCATGGTGATCTTAACTGATTCTGTACAAGTCTCCTACACTCAAATACATCATTCTTTGTATTTAGGGTTAACACTAAAGCAGGGACACTGCTGGTGCTGGTGCAGCTTTCTCACAAGCAGTTTCCACCGGGGCTTGTAGAAAAGGTTTGGGATAATGGTTGCACTAGAGGACAGCTCATACAGTTAACATGTGATCAATGAGAACACAATCAACTGTGGCTGTACAATAGGCAGACTGTCTTTAAGCCCTGGTCCAACCTTCAATGGCCTCACAACCCTGAGGGTAAGGACACAGGAGGAGACTACACAGGAAGGAAGGACACAATCAATTAAGGGCATAAGGAAACAAGGGAGAGCACACTTCAAATCACTTGAGCACACTGCCATCTACAGTAAGGACAGTAAAATGCAGCAAATGGGCTCGGACAATAAGAGTTCAGTTGAGTTTACTGACTTTTATATTATAATATTATACACAGAAAGGTCAATTCTATTATGATACTAAAATGTGATGCATACCTAAGTAGTTTAATGTAATGTCAGTGTTAAGTGCAATAGATTATTCCATACTTTTGGTCTGGGTCACATTTCTTCCTGGAATTTTTCAGTTTGTGTATCACTACATTCCACAAGTGAACTACACATTTAGTGAACAAAGAAAGCTCAGATTATAGCAGCTTCTCTGTTTCCGGCTGCTTACCGATGTTCTTGGAGTAAACAGGCACCAGTACATTAACCAGCCGCTCTGCAGCCAGCAGGCCAATGCACAGCACCACGAGTCCCTGCAGCGCCACAGAGCCTTTGGGCCAGACATACGGCAGTAACAGTCTCACCTTTCTCCCAAAGCCTTGCCAGACTGACGGCAGGGAGGAGGAGGAGGAGGGAGAGGAGGAGTGTTGGATCTGCATGGAGAAGGAGGGAGAGGTGATGGGGAGACATGTATCAACAGTAGGCGTGAGCTACAGCTACATAGCTATCAATGAGTCCTCGTTTATCCAACACTGTAAAACCAGATAAGTTCATTTAACTAAAAAGCGTATTGAAACTGATTACATCAAATTCTTTAAGTAAAACTAACTACATTTTGTAGGTCAAAAAAACATTCTTGGTTAAGTAGCTTTATTAATTTTAGGTGAGAATGACTTAATTTTGTAATTTTTATTTCTACTGTAAAAAAAACAAACCTAGTAAAGTTATTAATCAGGAATGTTTCTGTAACTTACAAAACTAAGTTGCCACTTAAAATTACTAGTAAAATTGCCTTAATCAAGGAAAAACTGGGTTTGTGTTACTTAAAGATTTTGATTAAATCAGTTTCAACAGAGATAAATGAATTTATATTTTGTTTTACAGTGAAGCAACAGTGTCACAGGCGTAATGCTATCCCTAACAGCCAGAGAGCAGAAATAACCACTGCGACTGTGTTCGGCGAAAAAAATGAAGAAAACTGAATTGAACCGATTGAAGTGGTCGTTTTACCTAAACTGGCCACAAGGGGCAACAACGAGCCCATTCTACACTCAAACTAGCTTGGACTATAGCCACACAAAAGTGAGATTTGTGATTTATCAAGTGTTTTTTTTTTAACAC